TAATAACTACTTTTTTTCGCAACATACCCGCATAAACTCATCCGGAAAAAAGAGTAACAAAATATAGTAAAAGCATGACCAAAATACTAAAATTAGTTACTTGGTTATAAATTGCGAGTAACAATTTTGTGTGATATTTTGGAAAAGGTAAAAAGCAAAGTCAACTTTGAACATTAAACTGCGATCTATGATTCACAAATAAGGTAATTCTTTCCGAACACAAGTTTCTCATAAGGCATAATATATCTTCTTTATGCATATACTACAATAGGTACAATAGGTACATCAATTTTAGTACGAATATAATTAAGAAAAATCAAATTCCTATAAATGAAAGATAGATAATTTATTAGTTAAAAATAAGTGTTAAACTCTAACTATTAATCATAAAATGTTAATTACCACTTTTATGTTGATAATTATTTGTAATTATGTTGCAAGTAAGTTTAAAAATAAATTGTAAAAAGGAAGGTATGTACCATTTAAAATATTTTGTCTCAATAAATAAAAAGACATTTCGCCTGGTTGAGTTGGAATTTTGTGTTAAAATTAATTTAATTAATTCATTCCATTATCTGACTCATGTGAAATATAATAATGGACCAAAATGTGATTTAATAAAATATGAAGACTCATTGGTTATTATGTGAAGTTAGAATAAAATAAAGATAAAATAAAATATTAATTTACGGTAACCAACTTGATGGACGTTGGTTAATAAAAATGGAATAAGGGTTCTGTCTCTGGTCATAAGATTTTTTTCACGGAAAACCATCAAGAAAGCGTGAGAAGAGAAAAAAGATAAAAAGATAGATTGGGAAAAGAGATTGGAGAACGAAAAATTTAAAGAATAGATTCTCATGAATCAAGGTTAGTCTTCTTATTATGATCCATAATGAATTAAGAACTTAGTAAAACTATATAATATTTTACATTTTGTACTTAAAAAAATAAACGTTGATGAAAAAATTCCTCGCCTTATTTTTTGAATTTATAAATTTTTGAAATTTTTTTATGTGGAGAGATTTTGACTATCAATATTTAATATTAAACTTTAAATATTATAAAATAATTATGAATATTGTTAATAAAAATATGATCTTAATATTTTTAATTTAAAAATATAATATTAATTATAGAATATTACTCTACTTATTTATTCTTAACTCGTGATTTTTTAGTTGGTTATCCAATTTTTATTTCATAATGGTGATTTTTAATCTTTTTGTTTATTGCCCATTTTTTATTTTGAAGTAGTTGGGTTTGTTACCTAATTATTCGCTATATAAAACGGTAACGCCGCCATAAAAGTGTAACAGTGAAAGTCTCACATAACCTAGACTTTCAAACACTCAGACATTCATTTTTGCTTTCAAATGGCATACAGCCCTCGTTTTTCAGTAATAACAACTCTCGTCCTTTTATTCATCGTCGCGGCGGCGCTTCCGGCTGCGGCGAAGCAATGCGACGCCAAATTTGAGGGAGGCTGTCGCGATAAGGCGGAGTCGCTGAAGCTAAAGGTGATAGCGATATTCTGTATACTTGTGTCGAGTGTGATCGGGATTTCACTCCCGTTGTTTTCCCGTTCAGTTCCCAAACTGCAACCCGACGGCGACCTCTTCGTTCTAGTGAAGGCTCTCTCCTCCGGCGTCATACTCGCCACCGGTTACATGCACGTGATGCCGGACTCTTTCAATGATCTCACGTCAGGGTGCCTGCCGGAACATCCGTGGCGGAAGTTTCCGTTCACCACCTTCATCGCCATGCTCTCCGCGATTCTCACTCTCGTCATTGATTCCTTCTCCATCAGTTTCTTTAGGAAGAAGCTCGCTGCCGCTAATTCCGCTAACGGTTCCGGTACCGCTTCCATTGAAGCCGGAGAGAGAAAGGAAGTGGAACTATTTGGCGATGGTGATGTCCATGGCCATGCAATTAGAGATGCAAAAAAGGTGGATGCTGAACAGTTACTGCGGTACCGTGTTGTGGCTCAGGTTAGTTTTAAAAAATAAATTACATGTCAAAGTTTAAATTACACATTTATATTTTTCTCAAATTAATTCTATTTGTACCAATTGTTTTAAAAAAATAAAAAAATACTACATTGTTATTTATTCATGCATTATATACACGTATCATATATACATTGGCTTGAATTTAAAAACATTAAGAAATGTAATTGTAATTTATTAACTATAACTTTAATTTCAAATTTACCTTCACATAACACGATATTTGGTAGCTACCTTCTAAATGTTTAAGGGTATGACATATGAATACGAAATATTTAACAGATATAAATTTAGATTAAAATGTCCTTATTTATTGATGATTAATCTAGGATAATAGATAGTGATTTGAAATAGTTATATATAATTTAGAAAAAAAATTATGTTTTTAAAATCTAAATTATGAATTGTTGTGAAAAAAATAGTTAAATGATTAAAAGTATAATGGGGAAGTAATAAATTGTAGTTATATTTTAAATTATACAACCTGTTATCTTGTTTTTATATCTTATATCATATTACTCGTCTCTCCTTCTCTTACTCTTGTTTTGGAGGATTTAATTTGATGATTTCATGTGGCATGTGAAATGGTTAAGATGTTGGAACTAGGGATTGTGGTACACTCAGTGGTGATTGGTTTGTCACTGGGAGCTTCCGTGAACCCGTGCACCATTAGGCCTCTCATTGCTGCGCTGTGCTTCCATCAAATGTTTGAAGGAATGGGCTTAGGTGGTTGCATACTTCAGGTGATTCATCTTATCTTCAAAAGTGTAGTTTTCTGATTTATTGATGGTATCTTGTGATGCACCAGCCCAATCTATTCATATTCATAGATATTCGATACCATTTATCTCGATATTTATAAAATTTATATAAAAAGAAAATAAAAAAATCTAAATAAAAATAAAATAATAAATATTTTCCTGTTATTATTATTTTTAAATTAATAAAACGGACAAAAAGTTATTATTATTTTCTATTTCTAAATAATAAGTAGTTATTATTAATTTTTATTTTTTTAAGTCGGATATCCGATACTCGTGTGTGCATCATAGACACTATCTAAAGAAGTGAGTGAGTGTAGTTTGTTCATCTGTGACAGGCTGAATATGGAATGAAGATGAAAGCTATTTTGGTTTTCTTTTTCTCTACGACAACGCCCTTTGGGATTGCATTGGGGATCGCATTGTTGAATGTGTATAGCGACACGAGTTCAACCTCGCTTATCGTGGAGGGGGTTCTGAATGCTGTATCTGCAGGACTTTTGAACTATATGGCGCTTGTTGAACTATTGGGTTCTGATTTTATGGGGCCTAAGCTACAAGGGAGTACAAAGCTCATGGTTTTGGCTTTTCTGGCAGTTTTGTTAGGTGCAGGGGGCATGTCAGTCATGGCAATATGGGCATAGATATTGAAATTTTATTTTGTGGATTAGAAATTCATTGTCATGGCAATGGCAATATGGGCATAGATTTTGAAATTTAATTTTTTTGAGTAGAAACTAATTGCTTCATTTTTTTTTATCTGCGGCAAAATGTAGAGCACGTTCAATTTATTTTATGAAAAATTTAGCCACCATTGATTTTGTGATTACATAGAAATGCCTGACGAGTTTGTAACGAACTGAAATTATTCTTATAAATTTGGTCAACCAGAAGATCAGTGATATCTACACAATCCTAACCAAAATAAAAGTTATATCCACAATATAATATATATTTATGAACACTTAACTAACTAAAAGTCATCTATGATGTGGAAGAACTCTTTTTGTTAAAACTGACTATTATTTTGATTAGAGTCAAAGGATGTTGAACTATTTGTAAAAATATTACGAATATCAGTTTATATAATTTATACTTTATTTATATATTATTTCTCCGAAACTACTCTTCCAAACAAATCCATGTTAACTTTATATTTTGTTATGAGATTTTTTAACTAAACAAATAACTGAGAAAACATAAACTGCTGTTGAAGATTGTTGTTTTTCCAATTTCCAAACCCATATTTAATAAATAATAAAACTAAATAACATCATTTTAATATATAAAATTTGACCAATTTTAAAAATCCAATCATACATAGTTATCTAAATCACTTTAGAACATATTTTCCACACTTAATCTATGTATACTGAAGTAATATTATATAATCGTTCAACAATAAAAAATGACTACAATCTCATGTATATATTTTTTTAACTTTTAATTTAGTTACCTCAATACTTTTTATTAATATTATATTTTTTTATAATAAGTTATAAAAATCTGCAGGAACTCACAAAGGATTCTACTTAGGTTAATTAATAGACCATACTAAAATATTCACAATTTGAACAAATTACAAATTTTAATCGTATGTCAAGAGTTGTGAATTTTGCATGGATCTGCCAACCAGAACCCAAATCTCGATCACACATGTAATTCATGTATTTTGATATTTTTATTTATGATATTATTTTGTGTGTGTCTTTTTTATTTTTAGTATTATTATTAAAGACATTTGTAGAAGAAAAATATTTATACAAATTTTAAAAATATTTGTATATTTTTTTAAGATTAAAACAATTATTTAAGTTATGTAAAAATGAAAATAGAAAAACAGAAATTTAAACCCAAATCAAACTCTGTTGAAACGGTTGAAAAGTGCCTCTTCATAAAGTTGTCTTTATTTTATTTTTATAAATTTCAATTAGTAGCCTAAATATACAGAACTACACATATTTTATTTATGACAAAAAATTTTGTTTTTACGCATTCTCTTCCTTTCGACTTAATTTATTTTTTCTCAAGACAAAGCATAGAAAGGAAATGAAAAGGCCCGACCCGTGTTAAGATCTAACCCAATCACGCTGAATAACCCAAATAGCTTTCCTCAGTTGCGCAATTCTGAGTCCAAGATCAACTCAACGTAGCTACATTGCATTCGAGTAGATATGTATGTATAGAGAATCTTGATAGCACACTGGAATTGAATGAAAGCCGAAGCAGAATGGATCAATCGCAGAATCAGCGACCAGCGACATCGACAGCTCCCTCGCGCTCTTTCCAGTTCCACCCTGCTCGTGGCCCCATTCTCGATCTCTTCAACCTCTACTTAGGACTCGGCGTATTTTTTTTTTTTTTTTGCTTTCATCTTCTTCTTCTCTTTCTCTTCGTTATTTTTTCTCACTCTCACTTCTTTTCATTTTCACAGCGAAATAGCCGCCACAAACCTGAAGACTCACTTCGCGACCCACCGTAAGTTCTCTCACTGCAATTTTTACGTATTTTTAAATTTGTCGCTGGAAATTAGAGGGTCTATCGCGACTTGTATGTGTGGTTTTGTGGCGCGAAAAACGGCTTTCACTTAATGCTTTATGCAAACGTGGTTATAGGTTTTCCGATAATCTAATGTTGGAATGCTTTTATTTTACAGCTGCATAATTATTATAGTTTTTACAGCGCTCTGTTTACTGAATTACTTACTGTACTTAGTTCTGAATGATTATTTTCCGATTTAGCTTTTTTTTTTTGTTAATTTTATTTTCTAAGCTCGGTTAGTTAGTTACCAAATATGACGAGTAGGGTTGTTTGAGATGTTTCGGTTTTGTATGTTTTCAGATTCTTACATTTTTAAAGTTGGAATGATTAATTTCAGGAACAAGACACAGAAACGTGTACATGCACTTAATCGGGACCTTCCTCCACCAAATGAGCAATTCATTCTAGATTTTGAGCAACTCCAGAGCCAGTTTCCTGTGAGTTTGAGGGAGAAACTGACATTTTATTTAATTTCAGAAGGATTGAGTGACTAATAGTTTGGCCATAAGCATGATTTACTACAAAAATTATGGCGTTGGTTGATTCATGTAGCTGACTTCACCAAGTGGTAAAATCCTGGGTTATTGTTGTTTATGTGTTGATTATGTGTTTCCTTTCAGGACCAAGATCAATTACGTTCTGTTACGGAAGCAATTCTTATATCGCTAGTAGTGCAGTGTAGTGGCCATGGACCAAGGGCAGACTTTCTTCTATTTGTTTTACGGAGCTTATGTGGTATTGGATGCATCAACTGGGACTCCCTTCTGCCCTCCCTTCTTTCTTCGGTTTCTTCTGCAGAATTGCCTGTTGGTCAACTGAGTCAAGCAGTGCCAACGGTTTCCTCATCGAGCTTATCACAGACAGGAATGCTGCCACCTCCAAGCACGATTGCTAATTCTTCTAATTTTCAGTCTTCAAATCCTGCTTCTCCTTTAACCTCTGTTCATACTATTGGCTCCCCTGCACAGTCAACGATTGAACCATTATCATGTTCAGCTATGTCTCCTGTCAAATCATCTGATATTTCCTCTGCTGGACAACAATCTAAACTAAGAGGCAGCTCATCTATTAGAAATAATGATATAAGTAATAGTAGCCTTCGTCAGCTATGTTGCAAGATTATTTTAACTGGTCTTGAGTTCAGTTTAAAACCAGTAACTTATGCGGAAATCTTCAATCATATGCTGAATTGGTTGGTGAATTGGGACCAGAGGCAACAGGGAATGGATGAATCTGATGTAATAAAATCATGGAGACCTGACAAAGCTGTAATTGCATGGCTACACAGTTGTTTGGATGTGATTTGGCTTTTAGTTGATGAGGGAAAATGTCGGGTGCCCTTCTATGAATTGTTACGTAGTGATTTGCAATTCATAGAGAATATTCCTGACGATGAAGCATTGTTCACTCTTATCTTGGAGATTCATAGGAGACGGGATATGATGGCTATGCACATGCAAATGTTAGACCAGCATCTTCATTGTCCTACATTTGGGACTCATCGGATCCTGAATCAGACGACACCTAATGTTTCAGGTGAAGCCGTAGCCCACCTGCGACTATCACCAATTACATATTCAAGTGTACTAGGAGAACCATTGCATGGAGAGGTGATGAATCTCATTTCCATTTCAAGATGTTCCTCATTGATGTATGAGCACCAAGTACTATGATAATCACTAGTATTTTGTTCAGGAAAATTGTCAGAGGAATAGTTAAATGTAGAAGTATATGCTATTAAATACTTGACAGATGCCTTTGATAACTTGCTTTACTCATGATATCTGGTAACTCAAGATTATAGATACTTATAACAACACTTTCTATCTCAAGTTTAAAAGACAAACACAATGATTGTTTTCAGCTCCATCACTTGTGCTGAAATTTTAGCTATAATATTTTGAGGCAATGGTAGTAAGGAAGTAACCACTTTGTCAACCAAGAGTTGCATAGCATAAAATAAATTTACTGAAAAAATTCATATAAGGGCCTATATAATTCCGAAAAGATTTCATTTCAATCATTAAAAGTGTATGTAGTCAATTTGTTGTTAAAACTAAGGTTTCCCATTTCATTGTCTTGGTATGCTGGTTTTATCGAGTTGTGTCCTAGTTGTTGTTTTTTTCTATAACGTTCCCATTTAAAGAGAAGTTGTTGATTTTGGATATTCTCCCTGTTTAAGTCTAGTTTTGGATTTTGCTTAACGTTTTTGTGGCTAACATGTGATTAGTGCTGGAAGATTTATGTAAAAAAACACAAGGATTGTCTATTCTTAAGCTTGATTAATCATTAAGATCATATTTTTTATTTGAAAATGATTTTGATATGTAGCTGTTTGTGACATCCATCAACTAGCATAGGGTGTTTGCACCAGCATGAATTGTCTATACTTCCATACGGAAACTACAGTGTTGTTGATAACTTCAGTATGAAGTATGGTTCTGTGAATCTCAAAACAACTTCAGTAGAAGTGGTACAAAGCTGCAAATCTCAAAAACAAATAATTTCATGGCTATTGTGTTCTGAACAGCCTCGTAAATGAAAGAGTTAGATGATGTCACAGAATTCTTAAATTGAGAAATGTCATTTGGAGGTGTAGACTTAATTGATGTGCAATAATGATGCATGCTTTGCTATATGGCTTCATCTATTGTGAGTTCTGTCCTCAGACAATCTTATTGACCTTAAATATGTAAATGCTTATATTTTATTTTTTTAGTCTGTACGTATGACGTCACCTCTTTAATATGGAATAAATTTTGGTTTGAATTCATCTATTGTGTAGTGGACATTTGATAATCATCTATTTTTACAATCCATTTTGCATTTGTAATTGATGAATAATTCATGGCATTTCTTCACGTGCTTTCTCTTCACTATTTCATTATTCTTGTTTATATGATTATTCTGTCTCATATTTTATTGGAATGTATTTTCACAATTGTGCATTTATTTTTTTTAATTACTTGAATGTAGTTGACAGGTATGCAAAAATATGTTTTGTAATATACCTACATGTAACTAAGCTATAATTGGTAATTTTGTCACTTAATGCTGTCTGTAGGATATTGCATCCTCTATTCAGAAGGGAAGTTTGGACTGGGAGCGAGCTGTACGTTGTATAAGGCATGCTCTTCGTACCACACCATCACCTGATTGGTGGAGACGGGTGCTGGTGCTGGCTCCTTGCTATAGGCCTTCATCTCAAGTGCCTACTGCTGGTGCTGTTTTTTCCTCAGAGATGATCTGTGAAGCAACTATTGATAGAATTGTTGAACTATTGAAAATGACAAATTCAGGCAATAATCTTCATTATGAGTATTTTTGTTTCCTGATCGTCTCCACTCTATGATGTATCTGTTCTCCTCTTCTAAGTTTCAAGAAATAATCTTCATTTATCCCAAAATTAAAATGATTGATTTTAGTGAAACTTTTGTTATCATATTCCAAAGCTGATTCTTTCTGCACATATCTTGCAGAGATAAATTGCTGGCAGGATTGGTTGGTCTTCTCTGATATTTTCTATTTTCTTATTAAAAGTGGGTGCATCGATTTTGTTGATTTTGTGGACAAGCTGGTTTCACGACTTACAGAGGGTGATCAACATATACTTAAGACAAATCATGTGACTTGGTTGCTTGCACAGATAATTCGAATTGAGCAAGTCATGAATGCTTTGAATTCTGATTCTAGAAAGGTGGTTAATTAAATGTAAAACCTTTTTATTTTATCTTGCTTCCATTATGGACAAACAGTAAATTATAATTTTCCTAAACATAAATTCTCTTTTTAAGTCCAAAACATGTTATGTTCTATAAAATACACATTTTTTTGGTGAGGGTTCAATCCAAATTCTTATCAAGAAATGGACTTTCTTTTTCTCATATCCAGATTTTCTAATTTTGTTAATGTTGTTACCTGGATTGAGAAGGACGTCCGGGCTATCTTGAGTTCCTTCCGAGTAGATACAGAGTGAGAGAATACTTACAAAAGACTTTCTGATGCTTATGTGAAAAAATGAGAGTGAGAATGTGATGTCTAAAAGGAGAAATACATAACCTTTTATATAATAGTATTAATCATAACCGTCCAAGAATTAAGGAATATTTTATCCCTATTTATTGGATGTTCCGGATATCTCGTGTGGTTTGAGATACTTGTCTGGATATCTCAGTAGAGTAAGATACTTGTCTGGGTATCTCGGACACTTACGTTGTGCCCTTAGTTTTGGAGGCGTTACAATTTAATGGTATAATTGTTATCGACAATAATTCTTGGGTTAGTGTGTTATAGCAATTTTATATTATATTGTGCTAGGAACACTGTAATTGATGTGTAATATGGCACTGCATGATAGGTGGAGACAACCAGAAAGATTTTATTATTTCATAGAGGAGACAGAAGTTCGGATCCAAATAATTCTCAAAGTATCTTACTTGATTTTGTGAGCAGCTGTCAAAATTTACGTATTTGGTCTCTGAACTCATCAACCAGGGAATATCTGAACAATGAACAACTTCAAAAAGGAAAACAAATAGATGAATGGTGGAGACAAGCAAGCAAAGGTACACCAAAACATGATTATTTCACTCTGGTTTATATTATTACAATGTCGAATCACTAAATAATTGTTTGCTGTTTATTCATAAGGTTCATTTTTGAAATATTTCGTATTTTAACTCACTCTAGTGTATGGTTTTGAAAAGACGTGCAATTTTATTCTTTTGCCTAAAGTTGATTTGCCCTCTAATGGGCATGGAAAGACTACAATTAATATATAATATAAATTGTCTGCTGTATTATCCTGTAAAATTTTCATGTTCACAACACATTGCTCGCAACATGTGGAAAAGATTATGTAAGGTCATGATAGAATTAATCACCTGCTTGCTATCTTTCTCATCTACCTGTAATGTATAGTGTATAGAAATAGGGCTTGTAATTAGTTTTCCAATTACTACATTCATGGGCTAATCATGCATATAAAATTGAAATAGTCGTGTGGTTACACACTTCGAAAGTAAAAGGACTTTTAAATTTCTATATATTTTTTAATACAAGCTTGAATCACCCTTTTAGGGTAGACAACTAAACCTATGAAGGGAAAAAGGAAACAAACATAGAAAAGCGAAGTAGGTAAATAAATATCAAAGATAGAATGAGATATTCATTTATCTTAATAGGAGTAAATATATTTTAGGCCTCTAAAATTTGGTTCAATTGTTCTTTTGGTCCCACAATTGTAAATTGGATTTTTAGTTCCCACTATTTGAAAAGTGCTCTTTTAGATTCCTCTCGTAGACATTGTTAGAGCAAGTGAATACATGGCAAATTGTGCAATAGTTAGTGGTTTCAAATTTGCAATTTGTGGCAGTTTTCGAACCTTACTACATCAGGTTGTTTTGGTGACCTCCAGTAAGTAAGAATTGATCCAAAACCAATACCACCTCCTGAGGTAGATCTTCTGTCATTATTAAGTGTTGAGTATTTATTAGATTAGTTATATCTAACTATAGGCCTAGTTCCTAGAATGCATCTATTTATCTTCTCTAGGTTTAATCATTTCTCTTATTTATTGTATCTCAGAATCTGTATCTTTATCCCTTGAACACAAGAGAAAGATTACATTCTCTCAAAAACATTTATTTATTTTTCTATTATCTATTTTAAGTTGGTATCAGAGCGGGTTCGTTCTGCTTTACCTGTCTCTTCCCTTTTTTTTCTCTCTCCGACGTTATTTGCTCGCCACCATTTGCTGTCGGCGTCGTCATCCCCGGCGCCGTTTCACTCGTTGGTACTTGGGTTTGGATCGCCTCGAGGAGCGCGTCCCAACCTCGGTGGTCGTTTCAGCCACCTCTGTCAGACGCGTCGCCACGCGCCACCTTCGTCCGTGGCTTCCTGCGCCCGTGTGATTCATGTGCCGCCTTTCCGGTGGCTGTGTTGCTCCAAACCACCACCATCTGGCTTGCCCCGTCGTCCTGAAGCCGGATCTGCCCTTTGTTGTTCTGGGTTCAAGCAAAGTGCCACTGCTCTCGGTCTTCTCTCTGCCCACTTTGCCGAGTCCTCTCTGGTTGAATAAAAATGTCAGGACCTGCAACGTCTATATCTTTTTCTGGGACTCCTACTATAACCACAAAAAAATTAAATGGGAAAAATTACTTGTCATGAGCCTCCTCTGTTGAACTCTGGTTTCTTGGACAAGGGGTTCATGATCATCGAGAAGAAGACGAAAGTACAAAACCTGCAGATCAGGCTCCTCAATGGAAGAAACTTGATTATCAACTCTGTGCTCTATTATGGCAATCTATTGAACCAATATTTTGAGCACTCTCCAATCCTTCAAGACATGTAATTCTTTCTGGAAAAAGGCCCAAAATATCTTTGTGAATAATATTCAATGATTCTATGATTCTGCTAATAGACTAGCCTCCCTTAAGCAAGAGGATAATAACATGATGTCCTTTGTTGCTAAAGCTCAATCAGCAGTTGAAGAATTAAAAATGTTCCTGGAGATAGATTCATTAGAGGAGATAAAGACGAAGCTGGATAAATTCTATATGGTAATGATTCTTAAGGGCTATGAATCCAGAATTTAATCATGTTAGAGATCAAATGTTAACAGAACAAGAAGTTCCTTCTATGGGGAGTTTGATCACAAAGCTACTTCGTGTTCCATCTATCAAAGGTAAAAATAGTCAGGAACTTGCTGAATCTTCTGCCATGATTTCTGCTTGTAGAAGAGGTAATCACAACAATAGAGGACGTGGTGGTAGAGGACTTCCTCAACGCTCTCATTGCAAAAGAATAGGTCATACTAAGGAAAATTGCTTTGCTCTGCACGCCTTTCCTAATAAGACAGCCAATACCTCAAAATCTGAAGTTGAGCCCAAATTCTCTCATGAAGAGTATCAAGAATATTTAAGGATGAAATCAACCAGTCTGACTCAAGCATCTACAACTCCAAATTTGTCAATCGCTTGCATTTCGCAATCTGTGAAAAGTCAAAATCCATGGATTATTGACTCATGTGCTTCTGACGACATGTCTGATAATACCTCTTTATTCTCCTCTCTATCATTTCCTAAAACCTCCCATCTCATATCTTTAGCCAAAGGATCTAAAGTAGCCTCTAAAGGAATTGATCAAGTATCCATCTCTCCTTTAAACTTATAAAATAGTCTTTGTGTTCCTTCTTTTCTATTCAGTCTTGTTTTTGGTAAGTCAATTAACCAAATCATTGAATTACTCAGTAACCTTTATTGCCGATTAGTTTGTTATACAGGAACGTGGTACGAGTCGACTGATTGGAGAAGGACATGAATCTGGAGGCTTATACTACCTTGGGACTAATTCATCTGTATCTTGTGTTGCATCCTTATCTTCAAAACTGTTACATGAGCGATTAAGGCATCTTCATTTGGCAAAACTGAAAAAAATGGTTCCTAAACTTTAGAACCTTCAAACTTTTGAATGTGAATCATGTCAACTAGGGAAACATACTAGGTCATCTTTCCCAAATCATTATGAATCTAGATGTCAGTCTGCCTTTAGTATTGTTCATTCAGGTATCTGGGGACCTAGTTGTGTTTCATCTTTTGGCTTTAGATATTTTGTTGCTTTTATTGATGGGTTTTCTAGATGTACTTAGGTTTATCTAATGAAAGATCGCTCAGAACTATTGCCTATCTTTAAGTCTTTTCTTTATGAAATCAAAACTCAATTTGGAAAAGTAATCAACGTTTTACGTGTTAGAAATGTAGGCTGAGATCAAGAGGGGGGTGAATTGATCTTTGAAAGGTTTTCGCACTTTTAAGATTACAGATTATCTATTTTAAAGATTATAAATTCTGATCAAGTTTTGAACTAAGAAAAACAAGCAGTTCTATGTAAAGCACAAACAGAATAAAAGAGAGTAAAGGTTTAGAGAAAGACACACAAGATTTATACTAGTTCACCCAAATCACAAGGTTAAATCCAGTTTTTAACCAAATTCCAGTTGAGTTCCACTGGATTGATTATGTTTTTGATTACAAACCCGAATCATAGCACCCAATCCACACCAAAGAACCAAATTCCAATTCTTGCACCAAACCTTCACCAAGAACCAAGTTTCAGTTCTTGAACCAACCTGTAGCCAAATTCCAGCTACAAAACTAGTGCCCAACACTTCCAGACACCCACAATACAGTAAAGAAATGAAAAGAACAAAGAAGAAACTAGAATAATCAAACCCAGATTATGCAGCTCTTGCAGAGTGAGTTTCTTCACAAGTAAGAATGTAAAAATGCATCAAAAAAGAACTTTGAAAAACTTCACAAATGTGACGCACTTCTTTATTGAAAAACTTCTCTAATGATTGCTTGATTGATTACTCAAATATTTTCGCACTTTTAAGAATTATTTTAAAGATTATGAATTTTGATCAAGTTTTGAACCAAGAAAAACAAGCAGTTCTATGTAAAGAACAACAGAATAAAAGAGAATAAAGGTTTAGAGAAAGACACACAAGATTTATACTGGTTCATCCAAATCCCAGGGCTACATCCAGTTCTCAACCAAATTCCAGTTGAGTTCCACTAGATTGATTATGTTTCTGATTACAAACCCGAATCACAAAACACCCAATCCACACCAAGAACCAAATTCCAGTTCTTGCACCAAACCTTCACCAAGAACCAAGTTTCAGTTCTTGAACCACACCCACAATATAATAAAGAAATGAAAAGAATAAAGAGAAGAAACTAGAACAATCAAACTCAGATTATGCAACTCTTGCAGAATGAGTTTCTTCACAAGTAAGAATGTAAAAATGTCTCAAGAAAGAACTTTGAAAAATTTCACAAACGTGGCGCACTTTTTTCTTGAAAAACTTGTCTAATGATTGCTTGATTAATTATTCAAAGATATATTTTAAAACGCTGAAGCAATCTTGTTTATATATTGTTAAGGTTCCAACATAAAACCAATTGGCTATATGTGGAGTAGCCTAACATGTATTTAAACCATACCAAATGACATGAGGTAGGCGATGTAGGACTTTCAACACGCCCCCTCCAACGAAGCCTGCCGGACCATGCAAAGGGTATTTTGACCCAACTAAAGGGTAAGTTTTTGGCCCATGACAATAACTGGAAAGATGTTAGACTTTGGTTCTGATACCATGTTAAGGTTCCAACATAAAACCAATTGGCTATATGTGGAGTAGCCTTAACATGTATTTAAACCATACCAAATGACATGAGGTAGGCGATGTGGAACTTTCAACATATATAGTTATTTTTCAACTGCTGGTTTAATTAATCGATTAAAACTTTCTTTTAATCGATTATTAAATCTTGATTAATCTATTAATTCTTCTTTTAATCGGTTAAAATGTGTTTAATCATTTTTCAGATTTATTGTAAGCTGGTACAACGACGTTTTAATCGATTAAAACAATTAAACAAAAATTCTCTAAGTTGTTTTAATCGATTAATTCATGTTTTAGTCGATTATAATTACGTCAAACATTTTCTCAAAACTTCATAAGTGATTTTAACTGATAAAAACAAGTTTTAATCGATTAAAACATTTGACAAAAATTTCCTTAAGTTGTTTTAATCGATTAATTTGATATTACATCGATTAAAATTCTGGCAGAACACTTTTCAAAACATCTCAAGTGATTTTAAATGATTAATTCAAAGTTATATCAGTTAAAATATTGACAGAATACTTTTCAAAACATTTCAAGTGATTTTAATCGATTAATTTAAAGTTATATCAATTAAAATACTAACAGAACACTTTTCAAAATATTTCAAGTGATTTTAATTGATTAATTCGAAGTTATATCAGTTAAAATACTAACAAAAATGTTTTTAGCTTATTTTAATCGATTAACCTCAAAGAGTATCAGTTAAAACTATTTCTTAAGAACATATAATCGATTAATTCGTTTTTAACCGATAAAAAACTTTTTTGAGGCATTTTCAAATTCTTCCAAAATGAATAATCCTCATGTAGCAGAGAGATAGGAATGATTATACCTATGAATATTGATGCTGACTCACTAATCACTTTACTCTTTAACCCAAGTAGCCTTTGACTTCATCAAATCATTAAGATCTTCATTCTATCACATGATCACATGGTTTAATAGGATCTTCATCACTTTCATTACAAAGTGATAATGCTAAAGAATACTTTTCTAATGATTTCTCTTATGTCCAATGGTCACAAGGCATTTTACACCAGTCCACTTGTCCTCATACACCACAAAAAAATGGTATAGCAGAACGGAAAAGTAGACATTTGGTTGAAACTGTTTGTACCTTATTGCTTGGTGCCAATATGCCTATTCATCATTGGGGGATGTTATTCTAACTGCATGTTTTCTCATTAATAAAATGTCATCTTCTTCTCTTGACAATAAAGTTTCACACTCTATTCTATTCTTGAAGGAACCACTCTTTCATGTTTTTCCTCGGGTGTTTGGATATATATGTTTTGTTCATGATATGTCTCCAAGCTTAGATAAACTCTCAGCTAGAACCATCAAATGTGTCTTCTTGGGATATTCTCGTCTTCAAAAAGGATATCGGTGTTATTCTCCTGAAACCAAGAGGTGCTACATGTTTGCTAATGTCACCTTTTTTGAATCATCCTCCTTCTTCCCTTCTTCTGTACAAGATATTGATTCAGTCCAACATGTTCTTCCTATCCCCTTAGTTGAGTCATTTGTACCTCCTATTTCTGACCCCCCAAATCCCAACCAAAATACTCCAGAATCATCACAACCTCTCATCACCTATCAACGCAGAAACCAGGAGAGCAATTCTATTCCACAAGATGAGCCATCCATAACAGGTCCTTCTCAATCATCTTCTAATACCACAGTTCCTGATAACGATGACTCCTGTTGGCCCATTGCCATTCGCAAAGGTTCTCATTCTACGTGTAATCCTCATCCTATTTACAATTTTCTTAGCTATCATAGATTGTCTCCTTCCTATTTTTCTTTTATTTCTTCTATCTCCTCTATTACGATTCCCAAAAATGTGGCAGAAACACTTAATCATTCTGGATGGCGACAAGCCATTATTTCTGATATGCAGACTCTTGATCACAGCAAAACATGGGAACTGGTTCCTCTCCCTTCGGGGAAGAAAACAGTTGGTTGTCGTTGGATCTATGCTATTAAAGTTGAGCCTAATGGTAAAGTTGATCGTCTCAAAGCCACGTTAGTGGCTAAAGGGTACATTCAGATATATGGACTTGATTATTGTGATACTTTTTCTCCTGTAGCCAAAATGACCACTGTCCGAATGTTCCTTGCCATGACCGCCATTTGTCATTGGCCTTTTCATCAATTATATATTAAAAATGCTTTTTTGCACGGTGACTTAGAAGAAGAGGTTTACATGGAGCAACCTCCTGGATTTATTGCTCAGGGGGAGTCTGGTTTGGTTTGTAAATTACGTTGATCTCTATGGCCTAAAACAGTCTCCACGTGCTTGGTTTAAAAAATTCAGCTTTATTGTTTAAGCTTTTGGATTAAAACGAAGCAAAGCAGATCATTCAGTGTTTTATTGTGACACTGCCCCTGATAAACATGTTTATTTAATTGTATACGTTGATGATATTGTCATCATAGGGAATGATGATGCTAGAATATCTCAGCTAAAAGAGCACTTGTGTAGTCATTTTCAAATCAAGGATCTTAGAAATCTAAAATATTTCTTGGGTATTGAAGTAGCTCAATCAAGAGAAAGTGTTGTCGTCTCTCGAAGGAAATATTCTCTAGATATTCTAAAAGAGGCAGGTATGATTGATTGCAAACCTGTGGACAACCTTATGGACCCAAATTTAAAATTAATGGTAGGACAGGGTGAAGTTTTCTCTGACCCATAAAGATATTGAAGACTGGTTGGGAAACTTATTTATCTGACTATTACTAGACCTAATTTGTCTTTTGCAGTTGGTGTTGTCAGCCAATATATGCAAGCCCCTTGTATGGATCATTGGAATGCTATTATTCGAATCCTAAGGTACATTAAAAGAGCTCGAGGACAATGTTTGTTATATGAAAATAAGGGAAGTACCCAAATTTTTGGGTACTGTGATGCTAACTGAGCTGGATCTCCTATGGACAGACGCTCCACTACAAGCTACTGTGTTTTCCTTGGAGGTAATATCATTTCATCGAAAAGCAAAAAGCAAAACGTAGTTGCCCGATCCTCTGTTGAAGCTGAATATAGGGCAATGACATCTTTCACTTGTGAACTTGTATGGGTAAACAGTTCTTGCAAGAAATGAACTTCTGTGAGATTCAAACTATGAAGATGTATTGTGATAATCAAGCTGCTCTCCATATTGCTTCCAACCCAGTATTTCATGAGAGGACTAAGCATATTGAGATTGACTGTCACTTTGTTCGAGAAAAGTTGTTATCTAAAGAAATTTGTACTGAGTTTGTTGGTTCCAATGATTAGCTTGCAGACGCATTAACAAAATATTTAAGAGGACCTTGAATGAAATTCATTTGTTCCAAGCTTGGTACATATAATTTGTATGCTCCAACTTAAGGGGGAGTGTTGAGTATTTATTAGATTAGTTGTATCTAACTATACACCTAGTTCTTAGAATGCATCTGTTTATCTTCTCTAGGATTAATCATTTCCCTTATTTATTGTATCTTAGAATCTGTACTTTTATCCCCTATAAATAAGAGAACACAATAGTAAGATTACATTCTCTCAAAAACATTTCTTTATTTTCCTATTATCTATTTTAAGTTTAAAATCAGCAGCCTTGTTAGCATCAGAGAAGGCTTGAAGGGAACAAGGTTGACTAGCAGCTGGAGGTTGAAAATGAAGTCCATGATAAAGGGAACTCTTTAAGTACCTAAGAATTCTCTAAACTGCAACCCAATGGGACCCAAGAGTCCTAGTCATTAATTGACTTTGTTCACAGCAAAGCTTATTTCAGGTCTGGTGAAGATGAGCTCTTTTCTTAAGGAGTTTGCAGGTAGACATCATGGCAGAGAATGTGTCTTTTGCTTCAAGCATATTGTCTTTTGCATAAGGTCTCTGATATATTTGCTTTGAGTAGTAAAACTGATGCAGTAGGAAGGTGTCTGACCGACTTCAATACACAGAAAATAATAGTTGCTTAACTGTTTGAGAAAGAAAGTATGACTGAGTGGAGTAATAATCTTCTGAGTAAGATGAGGCAAACTAGCGGTAATTATAATATCTACACCAACCAGTTGACCAACAAAATGAGAGTTAACATGATATACAAACGAAGATGGATCACTCTTGCTAGCTGCGAAACCAAAATGCAGAAGTATGATCTGTAACTTGTCAAACCACTACCTTGGACTTGTTTAAGGTCATATAGAGCCTTATTTAACTTTGAAGATTAACGAAAATTAAATGCTCCTATTTCCAACAGTTCTGTACTCCTTATAATGTTTGGCGGTTTTCTGAAATATTGTTCTGTTGTAGTTAAATGATTATTTCAGTGGTTGTTCGATTACATTATTCTAACATATATGTGGATTTTAGGGGACAGAATGATGGATTATATGAATATGGATGAACGCTCAATAGGGATGTTTTGGGTTGTGACCTACACAATGGCTCAACCTGCTTGTGAAACAGTAATGAATTGGTTAAATTCTGCCGGAGTTGCTGACTTACTGCAAGGAACAAATTTGCAGCCAGCCGAGAGGTTAATGGCTACACGAGAAGTGAACCCATTGCCGATGTCATTGTTATCTGGATTTTCAATAAACTTGTGTGTGAAGCTGTCTTATCAGATGGAAGATTCTCTATTTTCTGGGCAGGTTGTTTCCCCTTCTCTCTCTCATGTTAAGACTTATTTACCATTTTGATTGTTTTGCATACTTGTAATAGTATGATCTATACTACCATTGAGAAAGGCCTGGTTATTATTTTCAGTAAGGATTTCCTCTTCAATGATCTGGAGATGAATACTAATAATGCATCATCTTATAGGTCTGAGGATAATTTTAGTCTGATATTTAACCTTGTACTTACGTGCAGGTTATACCCAGCATTGCAATGGTTGAAACTTATACTAGGTTGTTGCTCTTAGCACCTCATTCACTCTTCCGTTCGCATTTCAATGTAATTTTCTTTCCCCTTCAGCGATAACATTTTGATTAACTTTTCTATATTTACTTGAAGTCATCAGGCTGCTTCTGATTAACTTCTATCTTGAGAAGAAGTCATATCGACAAATAAAGTGATTGACTAGCTTGTTACAGTCAATCTAAAATGTTAAACTACTTAGGTGAAAGACAGGATGGCTACTACAAATCTAAAACAATTGCAATATAGTGTTGTTGTGTTTGTCACCTTTCCTTGTTCATCTTATAGTATCTAGCATTGCCTCATTCTTATCCTTTGCCAGGTTTCATGATGTATTTTAGTCATTTTTGCTGTTAATTGGTGGTATTCTTCATATATTTAACTTCATTTGTACTCACTAACTGATGTTATAATTATATCTCTCAAAAATGTGATTTATTACAGCATTTGGTGCAAAGAAATCCTTCTTTGTTGAGCAAACCTGGGGTGACACTTTTGGTGCTTGAGATATTGAACTACCGACTACTACCACTTTACAGGTATCTCTATAGAGTTTAATATCATGTACTGTCAGTGTAAACCGATCAGAAATCACCGTTGGTAAGACTTTTAAGGTAATTGTTGCAGAAGTCGACAGACTTACCGTGCATGTTTGTCTTCGATTAGATAAGAGTTTAAAATTGGTTTACACCGACAATGCTTTGGCTATTTTCTCATGTATATGCCATAGTACATATTTTCATCTGTAAAAAATATATATAGTTTCTAACTCTGGATAGACTTAAGTTTTCATTTCCTATCTGTTTGTGTTTATAACTAGTGCTAGAACTATGTTATGCTTTATTGTCCCATCCAGCCCTTTGCCCCAAAATGTATCTCTATTTTCCAGAAATGGACATGATGAGTAGATATCTTTTATTTTGCCTGGAATCAGACATATTAAAGTCATGTTTCAAATTGCGAGAAAACTATGGTTGGGAGAATTTGTGAGAGAAGACAGAATTAAGAAGGTGTGTAATCTGTATTCTGAGTATAGCCTGCGGTACAACAGATGCATTTATATAGGATGGCAAGCTGAATCACAGACCTGAGCGGATAGCACACCCTATAGTTGGTATAACTGCTGTTAAAAGAGGACGGATGCTGAAAAAACACAACAAAGAAGGGTTATTCCAATAACTACAAGTAGTTATAGCAATTTTGTTCTTATAAACATGATATATGGATATGGGTATAAAATAAAAGATATAATAATTGCAAATATCAAATCAGATTTTTATCTGACTCTATTAAGATTTTCATCATAATACAACTGATAACATAATAAACCACAGCCATCTGTAGTAACTGCTACCAGCTAAGTGTTTGCTCTAGCTATGTCCTAAAACATATATAAAACTTTCATTTGTAGATACCAGGGAAAAAGCAAAGCCCTAATGTATGATGTTACAAAGATCATTTCAGCTATAAAAGGAAAACGAGGGGATCATCGAGTATTCAGATTAGCTGAAAATCTGTGCCTGAATCTTATTTTCTCGTTGAGAGATTTCTTCTTGGTTAAAAGGGAAGGAAAGGTACTTGTTTTTTCGTCTCAAAGCTGGAAGTTCTATTTTTTATTTTTCGATTGAGTACTAGTAGTCACTGTAAACAAGACTCGTTTTATTTCTTGAACTATTTGCAGGGCCCAACGGAATTTACAGAAACTTTGAATCGAGTAACTGTTATAACACTTGCTATCCTTATTAAAACTCGCGGGATTGCTGATGCTGAGCACCTCCTTTATCTCCAAAATATGTTGGAACAAATAATGGCAACTAGCCATCATACATGGTCAGAAAAAACACTACATCACTTCCCTGCTGTCCTGCGTGAAGCATTGAGTGGTCGAAGTGATAAAAGGAGCCTTGCTATACAAACATGGCAGCAGGTTTGTTATTCAAATACCGTATCTTAGGCATGCTTTATAGATCAAGAGATAATAGAGCACATGTTGGAGCCAAATTTCGGTTTCATCCGGCAGAACTTTTTCCTCTAAAAAACTGTAGGGGGCAGGGGACTGAGGGTTTCCGGAAGTAACAAAGATTATTGGAATCTCGTGTTTGATTGCATGACAAACTTCTCATTCTTTTTTATGACTAAGCGCTCATACCAGTGTTGTTAAAAAATGGACATGGTGGATTGCGGTGGAAGATTTGTCACTGGCCACCATTTTATGGTGGTAGTGTAATGGGTTTTGAATGGCAGGCCATGGCAAAAGCAGCAGTCATGGTGGAAATGAGGGGTTTGAAGAAGATGAAGACAGAAAAAGAGAGGAAAGTGGCAGAAATTTGATGAGAAAAAGTAAAAAAAAGTTGGTTTAGCATCATTTGACTTCTAACCCTAAAACTTTGACCTAACCCCAAACACAAATTTTAAATACCCTAAAATTCTGACCCAACCATAAAAAAGAATATGACCTCGAACATAAAGAATAAAAACCCTAAAAATTTGCCTTTTGTCAAACAATGAGACCCAAGTCACTACCAATGACATAACCACCAACTATGACTAGTGAACACCTAGTGATGATTGACGATGACAATCTTCAGTTTCTACCTTTCTGCAACACCCTTGACCTAGTTTTTGCAACCAAATATTTCTCCTTGTTTTTTTGACTCAATCACTCTTCCTTTGACCTCCATTTTTCTTACTACCTCAACCTTGCTTGTCTCTGACTCAACCACTCCTCAACCTCTCCAATTTTCTCCCCTTTGAAAATGTTGAAATACGAGAAGCATAGGCTAAATTCTAATGTGTGTTAAGCACATAGGGTTATCTCTTTATACATAAGATAAATACAAAGATTGATTTAATAAACAAATGATGTGGCCTAAGCATGTTACATTGAACACTTCCCCTCAAAGTGGTGCTTATAGACTATATACCCTAAGATTGTTACAAATATAATCAATTATAGGTCCTCGTAATGATTAGGTAAACACATCTCCTAGTTGATTATTAGAGTTAGTTAACACACTCAGTCTTGATTTCTCTAGATATAATATTTTCTCGAATAAAATGATAATCAATCTCAATATGCTTGGTCTTTTCATGGAAGACGAGATTTGAGCTAATATGAAGAGTGACTTGATTGTCACATATAAATATCATTTCAGTGACCTATTAAAATTGCAACTTTGTAAGTAATTGTTTAACCCAAATGAGCTTACAAGTAACTAAAGTTATAGCTCTATATTATGCTTTTGTATTAAATCTTGTTACAACATTTTGTTTCTTGCTCTTCCAAGAGATCAAGTTGTCCCCAAAGAATACACCATATCTATAAGTGGATCTCTTATCAGACGGAGAGTCTACCCAATCAGTATCCGAATGCAATCTTAGTGTGATTATTGTGTCCATATAACAAACCTTTTTTAAGAGAACTTTTTATATACTTCAATATACAAATGACAACATTCTAATGATCTGCACATGGAGAATTAAGAAACTAATCGCAAAGGAAATGTTAGAATGAGTAAGGGTAAGATAGTTCAACTTTCCAACTAATCTTATATACTTCTCGGGGTCTGAGAGTGGCTCCCCTTGATTAGGTAGAAGTTTGACATTGAGGTCTATGGGTGTGTTTGTGGACTTCGAATTCATTAACCCAACTTTCCTTTGAGAAATAACGATTCAATTATTGGATTGTGTTACCTCAATCCCCAAAATATACTTAAGGTTGCCAAGATCTTTGATGTGAAATTGATGATAAAAGTGTTGCTTTCATCACTGAGATAAAATACTAAATGATCTGTCTTACTACGAGTATTAAATGCCTTGTTAATCACTACTTGTAAGTACAATATCATCAACATATATAACTAGATAAATCCATCTGACACTTTGAGTGATGCTAGAATACTATAAAACAATATTACTACATATAAAGATTGTTTGAGACCATATAAATATTTGCGTAGACGACATACTAATCTAGAAGACTCCCCCTAAACAACAAAACCTAGAGGTTGTTCCATATAGATTTCTTCCTGCAAATCACCTTTAAGAAAAGATTTTTCACATCCAGTTGATAACGAGGCCAGCGTTGAAGAGCAGTCATGACTATGAATAAGTGAATAGAGACCATCTTTGCAACTAGAGAAAAAATGTCACTATAGTCTAACCCAAAAATTTGTATGTAACTTTGGTACTTGACGAGTTTTCAGACGATCAATTGTACCATCAAGACAATTTTAATAGCTAAAATCCACTATCAACCACCAATGGGTAAAGGAATGAGTTCTCAAGTACCACTGTTATGAAGGGTACTTATTTCATCAAGCATGGCTTGATGCCAACTAGGATGAGCTAAGGCTTTACCTATGGATTTTGGAATTGACACAAAAGAAATAGAAGACAAACAAGTATAAAGTGATGGTAATAACCTATGATAAATCAAAACAATATAATGAGGAGATCTAATGAATTCTAATGAAATAGTGGTTAAGAGAATGAGAGAAACATTAACACCCATTTTGTGATCTAATGAATTCTAACGAAGGCACATTTGTGCGACTAGCCGATAATTCATTAAGGCCAGGACCATAGTTGTGAACAAAACAAGTAGACCCAAAGACTCTAAGTGGTAAGGGAAGAAAAGTTTGACGAGGAAATAAAATAGAATGAGGAATTTTGTTATCTAAAATCAAAGATGGCATGCGATTAATGAGATAACATGCATTAGGACAACATCACCCCAAAAATGTTAAGGAATCTCACCATGGATTAAAATTGTGTGGTTTAATTCAACAAGATATCTATTCTTGCATTTAGCCACCCTATTTTGTTTAGATTTATATGCATATGAGGTTCGATGAAAAATGCCATGAGAAGCTATAAAATTTTGAAAAGAAAGAAAAAGATACTCATAGACATTATCACTATGTAAGGTTCAAATAGAAACTCCAAATTGATTTTTAATTTCACTGTACAAGGACTGAAATATAAAGAATAACTTACAACGATCTTTCATTAAAAATAACCAAATGCATCTTAAATAATCATCAATGAAAGTAACAAAATACTGAAATCTTAAACTTAACACGACTTGGTCCCCAAATATCAGAATGAATTAAGGCAAAAGGAGATGAAGCACGTTGAAACACTCTCAGGGAAAGAAGTAGGACTGTGTTTTCCTAATTGCATGACTCACACAACAAATTTGATAACTTAAAACATCTTGGAACAAGTACTTGCATCTTGGCAAGACTAGGATGACCCAATTGAGCATGAATGAGAGGGAGAATCCATGGCAAAACCAACATTTACAGATATTTACAAATGATAAAGACCATGAGACTCACATTCAGTGTCAATCTTTCATCCCAAACTCTGATGTTGTAAATTGGTAAAGCAGATAATACAATCAAAGAAACAAATGAAATGACTAATGAATAATAAATTAGATGAAGACTCAGAAACATAAAGGACATTATTAATAGATAAAGAAAGAAAAAGACTAAAGGTACTAACACCATGTGAGGTGGCCCAGAGCCATGGACAATCTTCATACCATTTAAGAAATTCATTAATGATAGCAGGTAGTTCTGAAGGATTAGAGGTAGTAGCAGTAGAAGAGACCATAAATATAAAGAGAGAAACTAATTACTAGGAAAGATAAACAACCCTAAAATATATTAAAAAAACTTTAACAAGCCCCGATCACCACGGAAGTTAGAGAGGATGGAGAGACGAGTTTGACAATGTTGATTGGCACTGAAGATGACATTGTGGCACAAAGTGGTTGCAATGGCGTGGGTTGGGTGGTGCGTGAGGGCACGTTGAAACTTTGATTGCCACGATTCTTGCGACGTGGTAGTCACCCAACCAAGACGAACCCCATGGTGGTGTCATAGTTTCAAACGATGGTGACAACGACTGTGTTGGCTGTTGAGACATGGTGAGGGGGTCAGGAGGAAGAAAAAAAAACTGGGAAAAAAATAAAATAAATAGTACTAGTGAACATTGTGTTCACCAAGGAGACAAAGATTAAACCTAACTCTAGATACCATGTTAAAATAAGAGAAGCATAGGCTAAATCCTAATGTGTGTTAAGCACATAGGGTTATCTCTTTATATATATGATAAATATAATATTAAGGAAATAAACAAAATATTATGGGTCTAAGCCCGTTACATTTAACAAAAACATGACCTCTATGACTCAGGCTCTACATCTGCATTGCAACTACATACACACACCCCACCATGCTTCTACCATAAGCCACAATGACATCTGCCAAATATATATGAATTGAAAAATTGAAAAGGAAACCTTTGTCAAACCTACATTTCTCCATTCCTACAAGCTTGTATCAATTTTGTTTTTGTTTTTCTTTTAGTATATACATAAATAATATAGCACAATACGGTGGTAATCAGATTTTCTAGCAATTGTTATTAGTACACAATGGTATTTTGGATAAAGAAGAATTAGAATTTAGGTTATGACTTAATTTTATAAAATTGGCTTGTAAGATGAAGTTGTCTCCCACTTATACTTTTTAGTTTGTCATTCAACATTCTTTTTCACACCGAGGATTGACATTTGTAGGGTGATTTGATAATGGCCCAATAGCGGATGATTCAATAAATCTCAACAATAATTATTAAGATACCTCTAATACCATTGTAGAATTTTTTTCGACCTAAACTCTACAAAATAAGTTTTGTAAGGTGAGGGTTGTCTCTCATTTTTGTATTTTAATTTGACCATATCATTAGTGGATGTGAGTAGAGGTTAAAGTTGTGAAATGGCTCAGCTTGAGTCTTCACTTAAAATTTTTGCCTCAACTCAGTCCTACTTTTAATATATTTTGTTAGAAATTAGCTGAATTTATATGCTGGTTTTATTCTTAGAAATGAAGAATTAATATTTAAGACTTGTGCAGGCAGAAACCACTGTAATACACCAGTGCAACCAGCTTCTTTCTCCATCAGCTGATCCTAGTTATGTTATGACCTATATCAGTCATAGTTTCCCTCAGCATAGACAATATCTATGTGCTGGTGCATTGATATTAATGCATGGCCATGCGGAAAACATTAACAGTGGAAACCTGGTATTAATCTTTTAATTGCTTTCAATGCTTCCCATTTTACCATTACGCTTACAATTTATTATGAAACAAATTCATCATTGTTATATAGAAATCCCTCTGCATATTTCAATGCAACTTTATATTCTTGTATCATTCTTCCGTTTCTATTTCTAAAGTTCTTGCAAGTGAACATAATGTTTTCTATATTTATCTAGGGACGGGTCCTGCGGGAATTCTCTCCTGAAGAAGTGACATCTAACATTTACACAATGGTGGATGTTCTGCTTCATCATATGCAGATAGAGCTTCAACAAGGACATTCCTTACAGGTTCGTTGCTGTAATGTGGCTATATTTATTTATTTCTGTTGGTTGGTGGCTGTAGAGCTCTTTTTCTTTATGGTTTCCCTTTACAGGACCTTACGATAAAAGCTTGTGCAAGCCTTGCCTTTTTTGTTTGGACAAATGAGTTACTTCCTTTAGATATCTTGCTTCTGGCACTTATTGACCGTGATGATGATCCGCATGCTTTGCGTATTGTGGTATGTACATAATTCAAATCTTATCTATGGTTATATATTTCTATCTTTCTCAGGAGCATGTTTGAATCTCCGTCTTTGACCTTCATTTCCAAAGCTAATAAATAATAGAATGAGAGAAAAATATGAGAACAGATTAAACTTGCTGAAGTTATATAGTGGATTTTTTATTCTGTTACTAACAAGTTTATTCATTTCTCCACTTGATATAGTTCCTTCTATTTGTTTCATTATTTTCCAATTTTTATTCATACAAATATTAGTGACATTTTTTAATCAGGTATTTTAAATTAATTTTGATTCATTTTAGATATTTGAATATATGGGTAAAAATCTTGAGTATATTAACCAACACTAAGCTGTATTTGTATATAACAAAATGTCAAACTAAAATAAATTGAGAAAAACGAAAAAACACAGACTGTGCCACCTATGGCAGCAGGCTAGAATCAGTATAGAAGCTAGAATCAGTATAGAAGCTGAGAATACAACTTTTGTACAGTGAATAAGACAAATACTATGCCCTGTGTCTTCACAATCCAAATCACCTCATATTTATGAAGGAAGGTTGTAGAGATATATTGATTAGAGGGGAGATGAAAATATTAACTTCTAGAAGATACAACTAATTAATACCAATCTAGTAAATATAAATCTTCGTGAATCTAACACTCCCCTTCAAACTGGAGCATACAAATTGTATGTGTCAAGCTTGGAACAAATAACCTCAATTTGAGGTCTTCTCAGAGAATTTGTCAATGCATTTGCAAGTTGATCATTGGACCCGACAAAATTTAGTACTGATTTCTTTAGACATCAACTTTTCCCGAATGAAATGACAATAAATTTCTATATGTTTTGTTCTCTCACGGAATACTAAATTTGAGGCAATGTGAAGAGCATCTTGGTTAATACATTTTCATTTGTTGAACCTTACAAAAGTTTAATTCTTGGAGGAACTGTTTTACCTACATAAGTTCACAAGTAAAAGATGTCATCGTCCGATATACAGCTTCAGAAGTTGATCGGGCAACTACATTTTATTTCTTGCTTTTCCAATAAATGATATTTCCTTCAAGGAAAACACAATATCATGTGGTAGAGCGTCTATCCATAGGAGACCCTACCCAACCAGTATCACAATACCAAAAAACTTGAGTATTTCCTTTAACTTCGTATAATAAGCCTTCTGTAAGTTTTTTTTTTATGTTTCTTAGGATACAAATGACAACATTCAATTGATTCGTACAAGGAGCATGCATGAACTAACTCACAACACCTACTGTGAATGACAAATCAAGTCTAGTGATAGTAAGATAAATAAGTTTCTTAACCAACCTTCTATATCTTTCTGGGTTAGAGAAAACTTCCCCTTGTTTTGCCAATAACTTTTGATTTGGGTCTATAGGGCTATCCACAGGTTTCCAATCCTTCAAACCTGTCTTTTAGAATATCAAGAGCATATTTCCTTTGAGATTACAACACCTTCTATTGACTGGGCCACTTCAATAACTAAGAAATATTTGAGACTTCCAAGATCCTTGGTTTGGAAATGACTACATGAGTGTTTCTTTAATTGGGATATTCTAGTGACATCATTTCCTGTAATGACAATATCATCCACATACACTATTATGTAAACACATTTTCCAAGGGATGTGTGACAATAGAAAATTGAATGGTCTACTTCACTACATTTCAGCCCAAAAGCTTGAACAATGGAACTAAATTTTCCAAACCAAGCTCATGGAGATTGCTTTAGACCATAGAGAGAATGAAACAACTTACACACCAAACCAAACTCTTCCTGAGCAACAAACTTAGGAGGTTGTTCCATATAGACATCCTTGTCTGGATCACCATGAAGGAAGAAATTTTTAATGTCCAATTAATGAGGTGGCCATTGTCGACTAGTAACATAGCAAAAAGAGACGAATATTAGTCATTTTGGCCACTGGAGAGAAAGTATCACTATAATCAAGGCTATAGATATGAGTAGATCCTTTTGCAACAGTCGGGCTTTGATACAGTCTACTTCACCATTGGGACCAACTTTAATGTTATAAATCCATCGACATTCAATAGACTTGAACTAATTCCCATGTATTATTATGATCAAGGGTTTGCATTTCTGTAATCATGGCTTGTTGCCATCCAGGATGATCAAGTACTTCATTAACATGTTTAGAAATAGTAATAGAAGAGATAGAGGATATAAAAGAGCAATAAGAAGAAGACAGTATGTCATAACTAAGAAAATTATAGATAGGATGTGGATTACGGGTAGTACGAGTACCTTTACGGAGGGCAATGGGCCAAGTTGAATCATCATTATCAGGAAATGTGGAAGTGGGTGATGATTGAGAAGTACCTGATGAAGAGGGTTTATCTTGAAGCATTGGACTAATCACTTGGGTCCTGTGTTGGTAAATAATAAGAGGTAGAATAGATGGAACAGGTGCATCCGGAATGGGAGATGATTGGTTAGTAGAAGAATCAAGAGACTTAATTAATGGTATAGGAAGGACCTGTTGGACAGATTGAACATCATGGACAGATGAAGAAAAGAAAGGAATTTGTTCAAAAAAGGTAACATGAGCAGACATGTAAAATTTCTTGGTTTCAGGAGAGTAGCAACGATATCCTTTTTGAAGACGGGAATAGCCCAAGAAAACACACTTGATAGCCCGAGTGGAGAGTTTGTCCAATCCTGGAGTCATATTATGAACAAAACAAATACATCCAAACACATGAGGGGAAACATGAAAGAGAGGTTCATTGGGAAAAAAAAAGGAATAAGAAACTTTATTCTTAAGAGAAGATGATGATTCTATTAATAAAAAAATAGGCAGTGAGGACAACATTACCACAATAATGGACCGCAGTATATTGGCCCTAAGCAATAAGGTACGTGCAGTATCAACTAAGTGTCTATTTTTCTTTTCAGCAACACTATTTTGCTGAGGTGTGTGAGGACAAGTAGACTAATGTTAAATGCCATGTGATCTTAAGAGTGCAGAAAAATCAGAAGAGAAATGTTCTTTGGCATTGTCACTTCTTAAAATTTTAATAACTTTCCCAAATTGATTGAAAATTTCATTAAGGAAAGATGTAAAGATAGGCAAAAGTTCAGAACAATCTTTTATTAAATAAACCCAAGTATATTTTAAAAAAATCATCAATGAAGGTAACAAAATATTTAAAACAAAAAGAAGAAATCTGACTTGGTCCCCAAATATCAGAATAAATGATAGAAAAGATAGACTCACATCTAGATTTAGAATGTTTAGGAAAGAAAGACCTAACATGTTTTCCTAATTGACAAGACTCACATTCTAAAGTTTGAAGATGGCTAAGTTCTGGAATCATTTTCTTTAACTTTGCCAAGTGGGGATGACCTAAACGTTCATGTAAAAGCGGGGGGAAGGAGATGCAAAACAAGACACAAATGAGCTAGATCCAATGTAGTAGAGACCTTTAGATTCATGTCCTTCTCCAATCAGTCTACCCGTCTCACGTTCCTATATAACAAAAGAATTAGTATCAAAGGTTATAGAGCAATTTAATGATTTTGTTGGCTAGGGTTATAAGATGATGACTTTCAGGATGAGAAAGAGAAGAGAATATAGCGGTATAACCAGAAATATGGTCAGAAGCACCTAAGTCAATAATTCATAGACTCCCACAGATTGTGAAATGCACGCAGTTGACATGCTGGGAGTTGAGGCTAGACTATTAGGCTTCAATCTCAAATATTCCTCTGATATTCCACATCAGAAAATTTTGGATCAACAGCTATAGATGTGATGGAAGCAGTCCCTAAGAAACAGTGGGCTGGTCCATAGGCCATTTCTGCCCAGAAGGAGATAAGGCAGCGGCGACCGGTGGGGGTTGGCGGGCAGCAGACAGTGGGGGTGACTGGCAGGCAGCAGACGATGACTGACTGTGAGCTGAACAAAATCAGAACAGACAGGGTAGGATAAACATGCTCTGGTACCAACTTGAGAGAAAATAAGAGAAATATTATAATATTTGAGTGTGTATCCACAACCCAAATCACCTCATTTATAATGGAAGGTTGGAGAGATACATTGATTAGAGGGGAGATGAAAAGATTAACTTCTAGAAGATACAACTCATACATAGATTCAACTAATTAATACCGATCTAGGAAATATAAATCTTGTGAATCTAACATTCTATAATGCAAAACTTTTCAGCAATATTATATTCTGTTTACAAATCTTTGAGTTGTATACCAATTTTCCTTCCAAGAGATTAAAACTAATGTTGCAATACACAGCATCTTAATAGCACATTATAGAAAGAAAGAAACACTAGCATTAAACAAATCATCAATATTTAAATGTCATCATCACAAATCATCTATTTAAATTATAAATTAGGGTCAATTGCGCTTCAGTATTTTTCTTATATTAAGATTAATGATGTTATGGGAATAATTGCAGATTAGTCTACTTGATCGACAAGAGCTTCAGCAAAGAGTAAAGCTCTTTTGTGTGACTCGTGGGCACCCTGAACATTGGCTTTATTCAGGAATATTCAAGCGGGTTGAGCTACAAAAAGCACTTGGAAATCACCTTGCATGGAAGGATAGGTACATTCAATTATAAAATGAGAAGACACGTCTTTTTTGCTTAGATTCAGCATAATCTTTTATTTGATTCATCATGGTTGAGAAGAACAATTTGAAAATGGAACTTTCCAACCAATAAATTTGAGTTATTTATGGTACTAACAAGGAGCTTATAATGTTCATATATTTATAAGAATTAAAAACACATTACATGAAATAAATTATTGGAGACCTATAAATGCTCTTCTTAGCTCTGGAACATTAAGTGCAATGAACAATGATAAACCCAATATTACAATTTTTTAATGGAACAATTAATACAGTTCCACTCCACTACACCCAAACTTTCACTGGAACTGACATTGAGTTTAATCTTATGCATAACTATAGAATGAACAACAAACACATGTGAAAACTGAAAATATGGAGAATAAAATTACACATAGAATTTAATGTGATTCATCTCGTAACTTAACAACAGTAGTTTTCTGAAAACAGGCTGTGTCAAAATTTGAATAGTAATTACAAAAACCTTCCCAAAATTCTTGTGGATAGGAAATAATTGTACAAGCTTAATAATGAATTCCTTTCATAATGGTGCATCTAATATTTTAGTTTGGAATGAGAGAAGTGAAACAGCCTTACAAATTTCAAATGTTCTTTTTTATTTTGTCTATGATATGTACTGTTGGGATATAATGCATTTTCTAGTACCCTCTCCACGGAAATTGCATGGACTGATGCTATCTGCAACAAACTTTCCAGGTATCCAGTGTTCTTTGATGATATTGCAGCACGTTTACTTCCAGTCATCCCCTTAATTACTTATAGACTTATTGAAAATGATGCAATGGATACAGCAGAAAGAGTATTGGCCATGTATAGTCCATTGCTTGCTTATTACCCTCTAAGATTTACATTTGTTCGGGATATACTTGCATACTTCTACGGTCATCTTCCTGGAAAGCTTATTGTTCGAATCCTCAGTGTGCTTGACATCAATAAGGTAACAAACTATACTTTCTCTTGCTAGCCTTCTAGCTTTTTTCTAAATTGTTTAACTGGAAAATGGTCTTATTCTGCAACAATTATTGAGTCTGTATTTTTTTCAGATTCCCTTTTTAGAATCATTCCCGCACCAAATAAGTGCAACAAATCCTGTCATGTGCCCTCCACTGGATTATTTTACAACTCTGTTACTGGGAATAGTTAATAATGTTATTCCTCCATTACATAACAATTCAAAATCTGGATCTATTGGAGATGTGTCAAATAATACACAGCGTACTGCACAAAGCAAGCCTGCAACAGTATCTCAGTCTGGACCAGCAAATGCTTCAGAGGGCCAAAAAGCGTTTTACCAAATTCAGGATCCTGGCACATACACTCAGTTAGTTCTTGAGACTGCTGTTATCGAAATACTTTCCCTTCCCGTATCTGCGTCTCAGATAGTACAATCACTTGTTCAAATTGTGGTTAATATACAACCAACCTTGATCCAGTCCAGCAATGCTCTCCATGGTGGTTCAAATAATGTAGGGCAAGGTTCAGTGTTGCCAACATCACCTTCAGGTGGAAGCACAGATTCCTTAGGTGCAACCAGATCAACTCCTTCAGTTTCTGGAATAAATACCTCTAATTTTGCTTCTCGAAGTGGTTATACATGTCAACAACTGTCTTGCTTGTTAATTCAAGCTTGTGGCCTCGTACTGGCTCAGCTTCCTTCGGATTTTCATTCACAACTTTACTTGGAGACAACACGTATCATAAAAGAGAACTGGTGGCTTAAGGATGGGACAAGGTCGCTTGGGGAAATAGATTCTGCTGTTGGCTATGCGTTGTTAGATCCAACATGGGCTGCACAGGACAATACCTCCACAGCCATTGGTATGGTTTGTTAGAAGGGTTTTATACTACTGAGTTGCTTGCATCGATTTTGCATTTGATTTTTAATTCTATATCATTAATCTGTGTTTGATATTAAAAGATGTGTATCCAACAAATTGGATCTTTATGTAGCAAGGGTAAGCTGTAGTTTTTATGCCAAATTTTATTTGGCTCAGAATCTTATGTATGTATTAAGATATCGTTTTACTCAAATCAGGGTGAAATAATTTATGTAGGAAATGTGGCTCGAAGATATAGAAGATATTTCTTAGAAATTTATTTCATTGACTCGAGAATACTATAATCTTTTGTTCTAGAATATGGACTAACTGTTTTAAAATTGTCTTTATTGTTTCTAAACATTTCATTTGTGAGAATGCCTAAATCTTTTGTTTGTATATGATTACTAGGTTTTATTACTAGACAATCATCTAGGATTTCTACGGAAATTAAAATGTATATTATTTTCATGATGAGTGGTAGCTAATAATGTACTTTTGAAAATTGATAGGTTGGGTATGGTATATAAGAGAAGGAATAAATAAGTCGTGTGCCAGCTGTAGCTGAACTATTTAAATAGTTCAGGGACAATTTTGAGAGGGAGAAAAAAGTTTTTTTTTTTTGTAATTGGAGTGAGGAGAGTGGTGTTCTCTTGAATAACCTCGGTAGATAATAATTGTAACTCTTTTACAAATGGTAGTGGTAGGAACTGATTCGAGTATAAATAATAAAGGTTGCCAAGATTAATGGGTTTTCATCTTGTTTTGAATATTAGTTCTATCAATTGGTATTCAGAGCCTCGTTCTTGATATTTGTGGTGTGGGTTCGGTGGTATGGTCAATACTAGGATGGAATCCAGATTAGACGACTTGAAGCGCATGTGTCAAGATATGCTTGTGAAATAGAGAAGGTTGAGAATGAACAACATGAGAGGTTTCAAAGATTAGAAAACTTGATTAGTGGGCTCATGGTAGTGGTAGAAAGAATGTCGAGTGGGTCAAAATCAATGATGGAAGATGGTTCAATGAAAACAAGGATGGGTTCAAAGGAGGGAGAAGAAGTGTGGTCATCACAATTCTAGTCTTGGTAGCAGAAACTTGAAATTCCAATCTTTGCAGGAGATGATGCTTATGGTTGGACGAATAGGTTGGAAAAATATTTTCGTTTGAAAGAAGTATCGGAAGAGGAAACAGTGCAGACAATTATGATTGCTTTAGAAGGAAAGGCATTAAATTGGTTTCAATGGTGGGAATCTTGTAATCCCAATCCAACTTGGGAATCTTTCAAGATGGCGGTGGTGAGATGGTTCTAGCCTAATATGCTAAAGAATCCTTTTGAAATTTTGATTGCTTTAATTACATAGAACAATTCGAGCAATATGCAGGGCTTCTTAAAGGAATTGAACAAGATTAATTGATTGGAATATTCTTGAATGGATTGAAGGAAGAAATTAAAGCAGAGGTGAAGTTACATGATCCATCGAATCTGACAAAATTGATGATGAAGGCTCAGATGGATGAGAGTAAAGTTTGTATTTTGTCCAAAGGAGGAGGGCTAGGAGAGATTAAGGAGAACATGGGTAATAGATCAAGTTAGCTGATGAGAAGTTATCCACGAGAAGGAGGCTATCATGTGGCCATTTTTGGCAAGGGAAAAGGGGAGTCAGTAGAAGTTGTGAATTCTCTTAGTAAAGCTCAGGGATTCAACCTCAATAGAGGAGCCACTTTTCGAAAATTATCAAATGAGGAAATGCAAGATAAAATTAGGAAAGAATTGTGTTTCAGGTGTGATGAGAAATTTCGACCTAACTATGTGTGTAGAAATAAGCAATTACACATGTTAATAACGGAGGAAGATTTTTCAAGTTATGACAAATTAGTGAATTGCAAAGGAGACATGAAGGAAGATGTTCAAGAAGATAAAGCTTTGCAAATATCCATGTATATTATAGCAGGACTTACCATTAACAAGTCCTCGAAGGTTTGGGGCAGGATTGGAGATGTGGAGGTTGTAGTTTTGTTAGATTGTGGGGCATCTCACAATTTCATCTCTCAAGAAGTTTGTGAATAGATGCGGGTTAGAGGCTGAAGAGATTCGTCCTTATGTGGTGGAGGCAAGAGATGGTCACAAGGTAAAGCGTAAGGGAAAATGCAAGGGATTTGTTTTGGAGTTACAAGGGTTGAATATTCAACAAAAAAAATTTCATTTTTGATCTAGGAGCTAATGTGGTCTTGGGACTAGAATGGCTGGCCAACTTAGGAGAGCTTAAGGTTGATTTTGGGAAACTAAAATTGATCATTGGAAGAAGTGAGTCACAACGGATGGTTATAGGAGATCTCGCATTATCTACCACATTAACTTCATTGAAAAGATTGCTAAGCAAATTACAGAAAGAAGATATAGGGTATTTGGTAGACCTATACCTATGGAGGTGGCTCGTGTGTTGGATTTACATATGTAGGTATTTCAAGAATTAACTAAATTACCTCCTAACCAAACACAGAATCGTGCTTTTCATTTAAAAAAAGGAGCTTTCATTCCGAATTTGAGGCAGTAAAATACTCACATAATCAGAAGAATGAATTTGAAAAGTTGGTCCTTGAAATGTTGAAAGCAGGAATCATTAGACCTAGTATTAGCCCCTATACCAACCCTTTGATTTTGGTTAAAAAAAAAAGATGGTGGGTGGCGGTTTTGTGTAGATTACAAAGCCTTCAACAAGATAACTGTTCCTAACAAATTTCCCATGCCTATCATAGATGAATTTGGCAGGAGCTACCATTTTCTCTAAATTAGATTTGAAATCAAGGTATCATCAAATCCTAATGAAAGAGTAATGCCCCAACCACTTTTTAGTCCTTCGTGAAAGAGATTCTTTGACCTTTTGTGAGGAAGTATGTGTTAGTTTTTTCCGATGATATTTTAGTTTATAGTGGCACTATTGAATTACATGTCCAACATTTGACACAAGTACTCTCGATGATTAAAGAGAATAAGTTGATGATCAATAAAAAGAAATGCAGTTTTGGTCAGCGTAGTTTGGAATATTTGGGTCATATCATATCCGGTCAAGGAGTATCTGTTGACCGGAATAAAGTGGAGGCAATGTGGAAGTGGCCTATTCCGAAAGACGCAATAGCCTTGAGAGGATTCTTAGGTCTCAGGCTATTATTGACGATTTGTGCAAGGATATGGCCAAATTAACAAACTGTTGACGCATTTATTAAAAAAGAAGGTTTCAGCTGGACGGGGGATGCTCAAGAAGCTTTGATACACTTAAAGTGGCTATTTATCAACTTCCAAATCTAGCAGTACTAGATTTCTCAAAACCTTTTACGGTGGAGACAAATGCCTGTAGCAAAGGATTAGGGGTTGTTTTGTTACAAGAGGCCAGGACCTTAGCCTTTTGGAGTCAAGCTTTATCTGATAGAGGGCAAAATAGTTCAGTATATGAAATGGAGTTAATGGCAATAGTCCAAGCGGTACACAAATGGAAACACTATTTGATGGGTAGTCATTTCATTGTGGTTACCGATCAACATAGCCTTCAATTTTCGATTGAGCAAAGATTTTTGACACCTTAAGAGTTCAAGTGGGCTTCGAAACTCATCGGGTTTGATTTCGAAATTCAATATCGTCCTAGAAAGGAGAACATGGTAGCATATGTTTTGTCTAGGCAGGTGGTTTGCGCTACCATATCTATTGTGCAACCACAAGAGTGGGAGGATTGGGAAGTGGAAGTTCAAAAGGATGACAAATTACGTGTATTAAAGCAAAATTTGTTGGTGGGTCATGATAACTATGAATTAAAATAGGGGAGATTATATTACAACAACAAACTGGTTTTGCCACGCCACCATCCGAGAATTCCTACAATGATTAAGGAATTGCATGAGTCTTGTGTGGGAGGACATAGTGGGTATTTTAGAACCTTTAAAAGGATTTTCGGTGTTCTATATTGAGAAGGGATGAGGAAAGATAAATGCAGTGTGAAATTTGCCAACAGAATAAGAGCGAAACTTTAGCCCCGATAGGATTACTGCAACCATTGTCAGTTCCTACACAGGTTTGGTCCAAATATTTCCATGGATTTTTTTTCGGTGGATTACCCAAGTCAAAGGCAAAGACACGATTTTTGTGGTGATAGATCGCTTTATGAAATATATTCATATATTTGCTTTATCACACCCGTATATTGTAGCTGAGGAGCATAATTATTTGTGAGAGAAATTGTTAAACTTCATGGTTTTCCTTCGTCCATAGTTTTTGATCGGGATCGAGTTTTTCTCAGTGTGTTTTGAAAAGAATTGTTTGAACTGGCGGGGACTAAACTAAAGTATAGCACAATCTATCACCCTTAATTGGGTGGTCAAACAGAAGTAGTTAATCATTGTATTGAGACATATTTGCATTGCCTGATAGGTTCTCAGCCTAAATAATGGCCCAACTAGTTACCATGGGTAGAGTTTTGGTTTAATACAAATACAGTGCCTCTTTTCGAATGACTCATTTTACAGCTTTTTATGAAAGAGACCCTCCTTTACTTTTGAAAGGCACAACTATCCCTTCCCGAGTGAAAAGTATAAACCAGTTACAAGCAAAACGAGATGCAATTTTAAAGGAATTGAAAGCCAACTTATGCAAAGCACAATATCAGAACCATATTCAAGCTAATAAACACAGACGTGAGGTGGTTACCAACTTGGAGATTGGGTTTCTTCTGAAAATTCAGCAATACCATTCTTCATCGCTAGCCAAGAAGCTTAATGAAAAATTGCGTCTGCGATTTTATGGTTCTTATCAAATTGTAGAACACATAAGTCAGGTTGCTTATAAGCTGCAGCTTCCTCCGCACAGTCGTATTTATCTGGTGTTTCATCTATCTTTGCTTAAGCCAGCAGTAGAGTCTCCAAATCCTTCTCAACCATTACCTGCAATGCTTTCAGAATATTACATTTTAGAAGTAACTCTTGAGAAAGTGTTGAACACATGGATTAATTCGTGTGGTGAGTGAGTTAGAAGTTCTTCTTCAATGGTACCAACTTCCAGAGATAGAAAATAGTTGGGAATCTGCTGCTTCTATTGCCAACGAATTTTCAGATTTTCACCTTGAGGACAAGGTGACTCTTCATGGGCGGGCCATTGATAGGTTCGCTATGGTATATATGAGAAGGAATAAAAAAGTTGTGTCAGCTGTATCTGAACTATTTAAATAGTTCAGGGACAGTTTTGAGAGAGAGGAAAAAGGTTTTTTTTGTAAATGGAGTGAGGAGAGTGGGATTCTCTCAAATAACCTCATTAGATAACAATTGTAACTCTTTTAGAAATCATTTTATTCCTACAGCAGTGGCAGAAACTGGATTCGAGTATAATAATAAAGATGGCCCAGATTACTGGTTTTCATCTTGTTTTGAATATTAGTTCTATCAGTTCTTTACTAGTAACCAAGAGTTGCCTGTAATTTCAAGACCACGAGACTTGATGGGGAACTACACCCACTCAATTTCAGGATTTCCCAATAATTTAGTAAAGAATGTGTTTGAGATGCTGTGCTGGTGACATTTTTTTCTTTGAATAATGCTCGGTGGTATATATTTTACTGCTTCCATTTGAATTAGTTGAATTTCAATATGCTTCTTGTTATTATTTGTGCCTTATAAGAACTCTGACCTAGTATGTAATCACAGGGAATGTGGTGGCATTGCTTCATTCTTTCTTCAGTAACCTCCCTCAAGAATGGCTTGAAGGGACCAATGTTATTATCAAGCAGCTTCGGCCAGTAACATCAGTCGCCCTGTTAAGAATAGCTTTCCGTATAATGGGACCACTCCTTCCAAAACTTGCCAATGCTCATGCACTTTTCAACAAGGTACAGAGAATCATCAATTCCACAATCTAAAGGAAATATTCTGATAGAACTGATCATAACTTATGAAGAGAAAAAGGAATTTTATTCAAGATATTTCTCTGTATTAATGAAAAACAAGATACGATGTACGCAAAAATGAACTCTCACCCAGTATTCTAGAGACCTGGACTCCTTCACTAATGAAATCCTTTCTCAAAAACACGCCCGCAAAGTCATCCCTGTTCAGCATTAATTTCCTCCTGCCTTACAGATTCTCTGTAGGAAAATCCCCTATTTAATACATAGGATGATCCCTATGTATATGTATGCACACATGCAGTTTTCCTTGTGTTTTCTCTGTTCAATACGTTGACCTTGAGAAAAAACTGTTTAGAATCTTAATTCTCCATGCTCATGGGGGGTTCTTTATTTTTTAAGTCACAAATACTACTGAAACACCTTCCATGGATAATTGCTAGCCTATGCTGTATATCTCGGGTATCTGCTGATATTATTTTCACTTGTGAGATCAGAACTTTCTGTAATTTCTTCTGTTAGAAAATTGTAAAATTAGAAACGAATAAATTTTCACTAAGAATGGTTTTCACCCTTTCTATCTCCTCTTCCCTTGACATTATAGCAAAAAGGTGCGATGCAACAACAATGCAGGATGTCGTCTTAGGATTATGAAAAATGCAGCAGCAATGCAGGCTGTCGTCTTAGGATTAAGAAAAATGCAGCAGCAATGCAGGCTGCCGTCTTAGGGTTACAAAATATGCAGCAGCAATGCAGGCTGCCGTCTTAGGGTTTATCGAGCGCAGACAGAGCTTCCTAGATCGGAAGCTCTGATACCATCTGGCCTTGTATTTCACTGTATAGACCCATTTACATCTAACTGGCCTCTTTCCTATTGGTAAGGTGACTAACTCCCAAGTGTTGTTTTTCTCCAATGCCTCCATCTCTTCATCCATGGCTTGCCTCCATTTTCTGTCAGACAATGCCTCAAAAAGGGTATAAATGCTACCACCCCCCATCCAAAAAATTCTTTGTGTCTAGGGATGTTACCTTCAATGAACAAGAGGGCTATTTCCATCAACCTTATCTTCAAGGGGAGAGTTTCAGGGAAGATAAGGAAAGTAGTGATTCTGGTTTTCCCATTCTTCCAGACTTGACATTTGAACCTAAACGAAATCATATTGAAAGTAGTAATTCTGGTTTTCCCATTCTTCCAGACTTGATATTTGAACCTAAACAAGATCAAATTGAAGATCAAATTGAAGTTGTAACAAATGAAACAAGTCAAGGAATTGGTCAAGCAAAGGAAGTTGGTCAAGAAAGTGAAATTAATTGTGAAGCTGATCAAGAAGATGTTGAAACTGGAAAATTTGGTAAGAAGCTAGTGTACTCAAGGAAGACTAAGGCCATTCCAGGATCAAGCCATGTTCAAGAATCCAACTCGACTCCACAAAAAGAGGTAACAATTTTTTCTCCAGCTGTGCAGGTTGAAATTGAAACCCAAAATGATCCTGACCTCCCAATTGCCATTAGAAAAGGAACAAGAAAATGCACCAAACAGTCACTCTACCCTCTCTCAAATTACTCGTCCTTTAAAAATTTCTCTCCTACCCATAAAACCTTCCTAGTAAACCTAAACACTATACTTCTACCTAATACCCTATCTCGAGGCATTGTTCGACGAGAAAATGGAGGCAAGCCATGGATGAAGAGATGGAGGCATTGGAGAAAAACAACACTTGGGAGTTAGTCACCTTACCAATAGGAAAGAGGCCAGTTGGATGTAAATGGGTCTATACGAGTGAAATACAAGGTCGATGGATCAATTGAGAGATATAAGGCAAGACTAGTTGCCAAAGGGTTCACCCAAACCTATGGAGTTGATTATTTGGAGACCTTTGCTCCGGTTGCCAAAATGAACACGAGTTAGGGTGATATTGTCCCTTGCTGCCAATTATGGTTGGAACTTGGAACAATTTGATGTTAAGAATGCTTTCCTACATGGAGACCTTGAAGAAGAAATCTATATGGAGATACCTCCGGGATATGGTAAAGATGTTGCTACCAACACTGTTTGCAAGTTGAAAAAGGCATTATATGGGTTAAAACAGTCCCCGTGCATGGTTTGGCGGGTTTACTAAAGTTATGACAGTGTCGGGTTACAAACAAAGCCAAGGGGACCATACTTTGTTTTTTAAACATTCCAAGTCGGGGGAGTAACAATATTATTGGTGTATGTGGATGACATAATATTAACTGGAGATAATAAAGAAGAGCAACAATTATTGAGTCAATGCTTAGGCAAGGAATTTGAGATCAAGACTTTGGGAAAACTAAAATATTTTTTGGGAATTGAAGTTGCCCACTCCGAGAAAGGGATATTTATATCTCAGCAGAAATACATCACTGATTTGCTCAAGGAAACTGGCAAGGCAACTTGCAAACTTGCTAGTACCCCATTAGAACCAAACCTAAAGCTTGGAAATGCAGAAGAAGATGTTGCTGTTGAAAAAGATATGTACCAAAGATTAGTGGGCAGACTTATATATTTGTCACATACCAGGCCAGATATTGCCTATGCAGTGAGTTTAATTAGCCAATTTATGCATAGCCCAAAGGAGACCCATTTACAAGCTGCCCACAGAATTTTACAGTACCTTAAAGGAACTCCAGGAAAAAGGATTCTATTTAAAAGGAATGGTAATGTGAAACTTGAAGCCTATATTGATGCTGATTATGCAGGGTCAATTGTGGATAGGAGGTCAACTACAGGATATTGCACCTTTCTTGGAGGAAATCTTGTGTATTGGAGAAGCAAAAAGCAGGGTGTAGTGGTTCGGTCCAGTGCTGAAGCAGAATTCTGAGTCATGGCACAAGGTATATGTGAGTTGCTATGGCTTAAAATCATCTTAGAAGACTTGAGGATAAAGTGGGAAGAACCTATGAAGCTCTATTGTGATAATAAGTCAGCAATCAGTATAGCCCACAACCCAGTGCAGCATGATAGAACAAAGCATATTGAAGTAGACAGACACTTCATCAAAGAAAAGCTTGATAGTGGCTTGATATGCACTCCATATGTGTCCTCTCAAGACCAAATTGCAGACATTCTTACCAAGGGACTGGGCTGCCATAATTTTGAGAATATTGTATCCAAGCTGGGAATGGAAAACATCTATTCACCAGCTTGAGGGGGAGTGTGAGAAATCAAATAGTATTTTAGGAAAGAATAAATAAGGAAATTTGTATATTTCCTTGTAATCTGTACAGATTTGAATAATTAGGAACAATCCCATAAATCAAGGGATCCTAGCATAAAATAGAGTTATTATATTTCCTAAAATAGTTTAGGTCTCTTGTATATATCTTATATCATCTCTTTGTATTGAGATAATAAAATAAATCATATTTCAGTTAATCTATTTTTCCAGAGGGAGGTACAAGGTATCTGATCTCATATGATAAAATAATAGTCAGCCGTGTGAGTTGAGGTCTGTCATATAGTTTCTTGACATTGTAGTCTTACAGAGTTAAGATCTTTCTAATTTGTGTTTCAAGGTGGGGAAATTTTAATCCTTCTATGTCTAAATTTTTCGGCTACTTTCTAGTTCCTGGACAATTGATGAACACTGAACATCCAGCTTTTATAAGTAACAAACTTTTTCTATTCGAGGCATTGACATTGTTGCAATTGGATAGTCAGAATTTTTCTACTCGACTAGATGTGCTGAAGCTCAACCAATGTCACAGCTTAGCCCTTGTTGATTTCTTTTTCTGTGAGAACATACTTAGCTTGACCAAAATTGTTTAAATCATAAACTCTTGATGGATATACTACAAGGATTTTATCACACTTCATTATTATAGATCATGGTCTTATGTTCATTATTTTTTATGGTTCTTTGGAACTTTGATAGTGGTCACTAAAATTTGGGCATTAATGGTTTTCATCTCACTTGAAAATGACACAGACGCTCTCATCATTACTAAGTATATTAGTGGATGTATTTGGAAAAAATTCCCAGACAACAATTGCTGTTGATGCGTCAGACATAGCAGATATCATTGACTTCCTGTAAGTGTTACTGATTTGTTATAAAATGACCTTATTAAAAGCTTTGAAATCCTGATCTTCTACTTTACCACTTGGTTTTCAGCCATCATGTCGTCCATTATGAGGGACAGGGAGGACCTGTGCAGGCAAGCAGCAAACCACGACCAGATGTTTTGGCTCTCGTTGGAAGGGCATCAGAGAGTTTACGTCCAGACATTCAACATTTGCTTTCACACCTAAATCCTGATGTGAATTCCTCCGTTTATGCGGCATCTCATCCAAAGTTAGTCCAGAATCCAACTTAGCTGAAAATGTATTATATATTGTGAAGAAACCGTCTCTATTTTCAGGTAAAAAATTATAAAGACAAATACACAGCACAATTTAGAAATTTTATGAGTTGAGAGTTGTATATAAATCGATGTATATAATTTTCATTTCTCCCAAAATTGTATCAGAAAAGCGTATATATATATATATAAATGTGAGACTGGGAATGGGGACAGAAACCCCTTTTTCTTGGCGTGCCTCATCTCGATTAATTTTTATTTTTTTTTAACTTTAATGAACAACTAAAGCTATTTTACCTTAGTCATCGGCCAAATAACAATTTGCTGCTGCAACCATGACTCATTGACGGTAATAACTTGTTCAAGTACTACTGTTAAGTGCATGACAGAGGCAGGTCACTACAAAAATAATTGTCATTTGCGAAAAAGGCTTTTCCATAAAGAATTATCGTTGCTTCAAAACAACACAACAAAAAGGGGTTTCTTATTATGTCATGGAAGTGAACGACGACTTGAAGATGCTTCTATTAGTAACCTGGTTTGCTAGGTTTTACTTTTGATTCTCTCATCACTTGAAGGAATCAACGCATTCGGGTCATTTCGTCTATTTTTTATGTGTATTCATCTATTTATTTTTCTGTTTATTTCAAAAATGAAACTAATATTAATTAGTATTTAATTTTTTTACTTTAATTTTACCTCATTCACACAGAAAAATGCACTCCTCTGAAATGACATAAAAATAATAGCATATGAAAAATAACTTTGATACAAACAGCTTATTAGTTCTATTTTATTTTAATCTTTTAAAATAAATAAACAGATAAAATGTTATTATAATTGAAGAGGTCTTAAATCACATGAGTCGTAAAATTTTATGAATAAAAATATTACAATCATAATTGAACAATAAATATTATTTTTATTATATTAATATTATTGATACGGATTATTCAGCCTTTGGGACATCCAATGTGATTATTCCTCTTCCAACATAGTTTATTGTTTCAAAGTGATATCCCTAGTTCAATTTGTAGACCACTTCATTAAATTTTTTATTTAGCTAAGTGAAAAAAAAAGGATAATAAATAGAGTAAAAAAGTATAAATTTATAATATTATTTTTCATTTATTTTTTAGTGCATATTCCTCATTATTAATATTATTTTATAATTTTTTAAAAATCACATAAAAAGCGTCTCATGACCTTTTTTTTTTTTTTTTAGAATTGGTATCTAATAAATATAAGTTGCTATCAACTGAGTCCCACCAACATCAATGCACAATATGCTAAGAAAGCCAATAATAATTTTCTGTCTAAAAGATAAATTAAATACATAAAGATTATTACGTGGTTGAAAAGAACTTAAAGGTCGATGCTTTACAAGCCAAATAACACATCAAAAGCAAAAATATTTGTGTGGTTGATGGAAGGTTTTGACGCAAATGCACGGCATGTATTGTTTATTATATTCGTAATTAGTTGAAAACGTGATTGATGGTTTTGTAGATTTTTCTTGTTCGCATCATTTATATCTGCTCTTCAACACCTTGATTCTGTGTTTCCACCAAAATTATCTACTTCGCATGAACGAGATTTTATTAAGAATGGAGAAAGTGCAAGTGGGAGTGAAAGAAAGAAAGCGATAACACGCAATTTCAATTAGAACCACTCAAAACCTTCAACCACCACCACTTTTTCATCACCCATGTTTATGTCTCCACGTGAATGCTGTGCATGTTGCCCGTGAAACTTCTCATTCCAGATCATCTCTCAGTCTTTCATTTCTCATTGATTTTTTTTAGCATAAACATGCTTTTAGTCCAACATGTTTTTAAATATATATTAACTTTAAAAAATAGTTGAATTTCTAAAATAATGTTTATTTATCTTAAAATTATTATTAAAAAACAAGAATTGAAGAGAATGAAATTAAAATTGCACAACTATCCCACTTTGCTTATCATATACCTTTTTTCCAATCAATGTATTAGGAGAATCAAACATGTCTCTCTTTTTCTTTTTATTTTATTTTTTTCTGATTGTTATTGTTTGGTGTTTTTTACATAGAGTTACTATTATCTCATGAATGTTAAACACTTTTTTTTGTATGAAAATGAAGAAATAATATTTTTATGTTTTTATTTAAGTGATGAATGGAAGAACAGAACAAGTTTAGAGCGAGTAGTTCAAACAATGAATGTCATTTTATGATTGATTGGAGTCTGTTTGTATATATTTTGCACCATTGAATTTGGTCATCACATTTTTCTGCCTTTTTTTCTATTTAATTTTCTCCAACGATTTCTTTTATATTTATAGAAAATCATAGATTTAATTAAACAAAGTCATTTTATTTAATAATTAGCAAAATATCATCTACACTTCTCTATGAAAGTTATACCCAAGAGTGTTTCCAAAATAAATATTCCCTTCCACTGAAAAAAAAAATATACACTTCATTCCATTTTTATTTTATTTTATTGCTAAAAGATATTTTTATATCAAAGAATTGTTATAGTAATATATGACTATTATTATTATTATTAAATATTATCAATGTAATTTACCATTAATTTTATTTTATATATAATATTCAGTCCTTGTAGGAAAATATATTTACGTTTAAATGATGTTAGAACAGCAGTATATAATATTATTTCATTTCATATATAATATTAAATATTTTAAATTAATTCACCCCGTAATGTTACATTTTTGTTTTAAATTTAAATATTAAAAATAATTAACTAATGCAAGTTAAATATGAACAAAAAATAAAATCGAATGCATATGTTATTAAATAAAAATCTGTTTGGCAAATGTTAAATAAATTATATATCGCCTTTATTATAGTCATATATCATTAGTTTTTTTCAACATTTTGTCCTTGTTTGGCAAATTAAAAATAAGAAATATAGGGAAAGAAGGTACAATTAGTAGAATGAAAAATAAAAGAAATATAAATATAAACCTCTAAACTTGCTTCAAATTCCACACTGTAACAAATTGTCAGATATAGTTACATAGTGGTCTATATGCTAATGCTATACTGTTGGAAGGTAAAATCCAACTAGTTTCAAGGAACAAGGTAAAAGCCCTACACCAAAAACAATTAAAGGCCATACCTCAGGACTCAACACAGTTTGATACATAAGAATCTCAGCATAAGTTCTGAACAAAATAAAATCATCTGCATACAATATAACTATATTTTACAAGTCATCTGAAGTAGTCTCCTTCTACAAGAAGGGGTCACTACTATACTATCCTTGCTTGGTTGATGGTGCATCACCACCCTCACTTGCATTCATTTTAGAAACAAGTTTATTCTGCTGTGGCATATTCTCAAAATTCTCTTTCAGGTTATATGGTGCTGCATTCAACACCCTGCATGTACAGAAACACCTCAGACTCACATAATTTTCCATCCATGTAAATATTTACTCTGGTGGAGAGATAAAGAGAACATGTTTGGACTAACCTTTCCTTGCGCTTCTCCAAAAACCGAGCCAATGATGCCTTGCGAGCCTGTGGCACAGCTACATAAAATGGTAAAGTGTCAATTTCATTCAGCAAAACCTTCACTGAATGCAAACACTGGCAATGATCAAACACAGATAACTTCAGATAGCAGAGAGATACATGAAGAACTAAAGAAAAATTAAGTAACAAGAAACTACCATACCTGATGGTAGCATGGTGGTTGTGTTGACTACTTTAGGAGTCTCCACTTTGTTAACAGAAGTAGGGGTATCACCAGATGTTTTAGCAGACAGAAATTCATCACTGCTACTTGAACCACTCCTTGACTGAGCACCAGTATGTGAAGAAACAGATAAAGGGGTTGAAAGATTAGGGCATGGTGGTAAGGGTTTACTAACAGGAACACCATCACCTACTGCCAAAGTCAATCTGGGAGCCTGAACATTTGGAGGTGCCACATTAGAAGCAGCTGATAATCCACTCCCAGCCATCAACATGATAGCTTGTGCCTGAAGAAAAATGGTCAAGCTTCAATCATGAGATGTATGCTCCTTTTTATACTTTATTTGTTTATTCATTGTGGATGGAGAAAAATATGAGAGAAAATACCTTGTCAGGAGTGATATCATCAAAGACATTCACAGTGCCCGCGTAGAAGATGGTAAGTTTAGGAGCAGACATAGAAGATTTCACACTGTTACTTGAAAATGATACAAGTTAGAGAGAATAACAAGTTTGTTCATTGCATTTCTGCACTCAAATCATCTCTCTAGGTAACGGTTGAAGCACGAAAATGTAATTACCATGTTTTGGTCATTCCAGCAACAGCACCAATACCAATTATAGGAAGAACTGAATGAGGTGCTATAACAGGTATTCCCCCAAGTAGTGGTTGCTTCATACTAGAACCATTCATATTCTGACCAACAGTTGTAAAATGATTCTTTGGGGATGGATGTCCCATGGGAACTGAGTTGGCTTGATTGGGAACTAAAAACATCTTCGCATCATCAGGGCGATTCATAGAATTCACATCATCTAGTGCAGGGTATGGTGTCAGGGAAAAATGAATGCCACCTTGTCCATCATGATTGACAGATTTCTAGGTAATAAGAAAATTACAATCAATGAAAGGAAAGGGATAAAGATCAGCTTATGCTTTGTTACTGTGAGATCAAGAGGATGAAACAAATTTATCAGAAAGATGTTTTGAACCAACAGACATGAGATAGTGCAAAAACGGCCTAAAGCTAGGTTCATCTACAGGTCAAGTTCAAATTCAGAAAGACAAACATAAATAATTGAATATCATAAGCAGATCTATACCAACTTATATTAACCAAAAAAATTCCTCTTAAACCACATATTGGACTGAAAATAAAATACCAATCTGAACACACTGGAGTCATCTGATTTGCTAAGAGTGAATATGTTTTACTCACATCACTTTAGTGAATCTAACCCTAATAAACCAAAAGTTGTGCTAACTTGTAATTTTGAACAAATACTTAAAATCAGAGAAAGGGTGCATTATCAAAACCTGAGGAGCATTGAAAGACATCAAATGAGGATGGACAGATACTTTGTTCATGAAGGGCCATTTTACCATTCCTCCGTTTGTGAATCCTACATACCAGCAAGGAAACCATCAATATAAATTTCAATCTTATTAGGGTCAGTAAAAACAATAAGGAATTTTGTACGAGTGTTGGCAAAATTGATCTTGAACTTATGTGATTTATGTTTGAATGTTTTTATTATAAAAGCAAATTTAGTAGTAAAATTCAGTACAAATTTTTTTATCCAAAGCAAGAATAACCAAAGTTGCTTCAACTCAAAATCATTTTAGAACCAGAATTAATTCCTTCATGTGAGGAAGAGGAAAAGGAAGGAGTAGATTATCAAATTTTGCAACTTCAATCTAAGTATCTCTATGCAGAAGCATCATGTAGGTACTCTAATACCAAATCAACAAAACTGGTAAAGAACTGAAGAATCATCTTTTTTCCCAAATTACAAAATCCATACACAGTTACATACAAAAGTTCAAATATGGAAACGTCGAGTCACAACATGTCTAGCTCCACCAGTGAAACATAAACCCCCTACCTAATAAATAGCCTGCAGCTGCAGTAGAAGTAAAGTTGTATAAAAAGCTTTCGTTGTTGAAAGAAGGAGCAAATAGAAACTAAAATATGTCCAACCTTATCAACCAAGAAAATTTAGTAATTGGTTCAGAAGTTTAATTGCCTGTCTCAACAGAAAGAAGGAGAAGCACCCAAAATATGAAGAAAAGCATTGAAGTGGAGGATCATAGAAAGTTTAGAAAGAGAAGACAAAAACAGAAACATGCCTGAGTCTTTGCACCCACTATCATTATTCATCTCTTCCTTCACTACAACCAATGGTTCTTTTGAGTTCAGACCCAGAAAATCTCTCTCCATTTTCAGAGCAAAAGACCAAAGAAATTCAGAAATCAACAAAGACCCACTCCGAAAGTTTCTTTCTGTTTTTCTGTACAATTCAACAAAGACCCGTCTTCCTTCCTCACAATAACCAACAAAGCAAGCACGCCATACAAAATAAACTAATATTATTATTATTATAACAAAGCTTGTCGTTATAACTGCAGAAAAACAAATTAAAAAATAAAAGAAAATAAAATAGAAAGAGTTCAAAATTCAATGGAGTAATTCATTTGTTTGAATCAATTAATGAGATACTGGCCATCAAGATTTGTTTTCTTTTCCTTAAAAAAATCAAAGGAACAATGATGAATTATGAAAGGTAGCTGAGTTACCGGTAGAAGAACCGGATAGTCCGGTATAGGACCACGTGCGCGTCTGTCACACCTTACCATACTCCTCCGTGTCCGACACCGATCTTTTCTACCGCCACCCTTGTCAAAATTATGCACGTGTGTGTTACACGTGCTAACCTTTTCCAGTACTTTTTTTTTTTTTTTTTTTTTTTTTAAGGTTGCGCTTGTTACAATGTTTCAGTTAATTTTTAAATTTGTTTGCAAGTCGAAAAAATAGATACATTGGTTTGATATTATTAGGGTTCCAGAATATGAATGTAATGAGTTAACAGAACATGCCAAAAACTAATGAATACAGATTCAACGTGCCAATAAGATATTACCAAATTATTTTTAAAAGAATGAAAAATCTTATGTAAATTTTGAATGTTCTGTTACTAAGCTGTAATTTTAAAGATTAATACTAAATCAGAAATCATTTGGTTTGATTATCAAGCTTTAATATTTAGAAACCAATTTCTACTTTTTACTTGTTCAGAATTATAAATAAAGAATCCCTCACGTGTTCCAAAATTTAATTGATTGTTTATTCTAATTATAATGAGATGTTCACACCAAACAAACTTTCAACTTTTTATATCATATTTGCAGGTTTAGTTTTTCAAAAAAATTAAAAGATCCTTCACTGTTTTCTACGTTTAAGGTAACAAAAATACTTTGTTTTTTAAAATATTAAAAGCAATACAGAAAGCAGATTCTAAAGCGACTTGATAAGAACATGGCACCAACATTAAAACCAGATTCTGAAGTCAGAAATGAGAAAATAGATAATTAGATCTAAGTAGGACCCATATTTTAAATGGATCAAAATATTTGGATATTTAAAAAAATTCTAATTTTTTAAATTTGAAGATAAAAATAATTTAATTTCAATTTTTAAATATAATAATTTGATACGTAGTAGTATAAAAAAAATGTGGAGATGCAGGAAGGAATTGTCTATCAATGAAATCTGACCCTTCGCACTTAGATGGGCCTTTGGCCCAAACCATGTATGGACAAATAATAAATCGGTAAAAAAACGAGTTATCTGAAATCTGACCAGCAATTTTTTTACTTTTTTTATATTTTTATTTTTTTATTTTACAATTAACTGTTTTCTATAAATATTATATATAATTTGATTGTGATGTTCAAATACGAATCAACTTTATGCCGATATGTACTAAGTATTAAAATTTATTATAAATAATATCATATAAAATTGAAAAAGCAACCAAACAAATAAATATTGGATAGTTTTATATATATATATTTCGCAATTGGTTTATTATTTCATTTATTTTATACGAGATTCATAAATTGAGAGTGATGTTTTGTGTTGATCCATAATGGGCCCAACTAAATTGATTGGGTGCATAGTGAAAACACATTTGAAAGTTACGCTGACGGTTTGGTTTGAATTTCCGGTACATCCAATTTGAAAGACGAACAAAAAAGCGTACTCAATATCCACCATTTCTTCACCATCTTCATATAAATCAACCTAACTCCATCACAAAACCCCTCCTAATACATTGCTGCATCATTCACGCGATTCAGAATATAGTAATCATGGTAATTACCATCTTTCTTTGGGTTTTTTTTCTTCATTTGAGGTTTTTTTTTTTTTTTTTTTTTCTTTTGATTTGTGTATGTTGTGGTTGGTGCAGTCTCTTACAACTTTATTGTTCAGGTCAATGGTGAGGCTTGTGACATCTTTTGTTGGTGAGCCAGCCAGGTCAGTCTCAACCGTGCTATTCTACAGTGGTCTTCTTCCTCACAATGTCATTCTTCTCAGAATGGTTCGCCACGACTTGTTGGACCAAGAAAACTACCTCTTCCATTTTCTCATTTCTATAATGAGTTGTTGTTGGTGAATAACGTGGATAATGTAAGTGAGTTAAATCTTAAACATAAAAAAAAAAAAAAAGTATGATTTATGATCTAATTTTTTAAGATTTTAGGTTAAGATAATGTTATCTTATATAGATTAATGTCATATTTTTATATTTTTCTTCACGAATTTCATTAAAAAATCCAACAATTATATATATGACTTTTTTTTAATTACTTTCTATCTCCAATTTTTTGAAACAAAACTCTTTTTTGGAATGAAGAGATCCTTTCGAAGTTTGATTATTGTAAATTTCTTCGTGATCTGTAATATAAAGTTTTACGGAGTTTGATGAAAATTAGAGGGGAGTGTAAGAGGAATGCTAGATATAAATCATTTGCATACTCTTCTTATTAAAATTAGGGTCAACCATAAATATGATTAATTTTGGTAAAATTTATTATCTAATCTAATAAAAAAATTGAATTAAATTGGATCAGATTTTTATATATTAATCCACTCTTAATCGGATTTGATTGTATTAAATTAATTGGATGATAAATCTTTAACAAATATTTTTTAGAATATATTTTTAAAACAGACTAAATTATTTATTATTTAAATAATTTAATAATATATTATTTTAAAATATATATATTTATTTAATTTAATAATTAAATAATAAATATATTAATAATACTACTATTAAAAATTATTTAATAATTATCATTGATTTTAAGTTGAACATAAAAAATCAGTTACCCAATTGGTTAAAAATTAAGTTGGGTCAAATTTGACTTATTTCTTGATAAAACTCACCTTAATTTATTTGTATTAGATTGGGTCATAAAAAAAAGTAATATATTAATCTCGAAACAAGATCAAGGTTTTTTTTTTTCTAAATTGGAGTTAGTGAAAAATACTAAAAATAAAAGACAAAATATATATATATATATATATATATATATATATATATATATATATATATATATATATATATATATATATATATATATAATGAATGTTCAACAAGAAAGCAGCATGTACAATGTTTACTAATGGAAATCCGTAAAAACACAAACTTAATATATTGTCTTTTTGTTTGACTGGAAACAAAAGATGACATAAACACGTTTGACTTCACAAATACAAAAAGAAACAGACACTTTTTGAATGTCTCAATTTTTAATTTTTTTTGGGTGAAGAAGAGTGTTGGTTCTTGAGCTGTTCAAACAAGCTTCCATCATAAACTGCTCGGATTGTATCCTTTTGCAGCAACCCATCCTTGTCTTTAGCAAGGTGGTAGAGGGCGCTCCATTCCGCAGAACTTCCAATCCTGTGTATTTTCATTGCAACAAATCAACAATTACTAATAAAAAATATAAAAATCTGTCACTAAAATTCTCATAGATATGCCAAACTTACCTTCCTTTTAGATCCCTAGGCTCTCTGTTTGCCTTTATCATCTCCTTCAACTCATCATAGGTCAAAGAATTTGGATTTTTATGTGCATGCTTGCTGAAAATTGCTTCAAATTTTGAAGGAACAAACCTAAAAGATACACCAAATGTTAGAGATTTATGAATGACATTGATAATATAAAACTCAAAGTTCTATGATTAGATGAATAAAACGATAACAAAAAGATATCAATCAATACCTTCCTTGGGTGTCATAGACTCCACTGTCACTCCCATGTTTGCCTAGTTGGATATTTTTAATTTCAATTGGAAAAAGCAAAGATGGAAACTTTCCCTGCACCACCAGAAGTAAATAAGAGTATGAAAACAGCCATTTACTTTCTTTAATTACTCCTATTTAAAACATTAAACCAAAGTTATTGAATCAATTAATCACTACACTTACTTTTTCTCTCTTCTCTATCATACATACAAATACAATGAATCACCATGAAAATTCCATTATTTTATTTTCAAAACTTTGCGTTAAAAATCCAAAAGTAAATGCGTATTTCCTAATTATATCCTTAGTTATAGAGAATTAAACTTTCCCTATCTCCGTACAATAAAATATTAATATTATTTGATATTTATATTTAATTGAAAATGAACATTATCATCTAAACAGCAGCCCACATACCCACGCGTCATCATCATCTGGGTCCACATGTTTCTTTAATAATTAAAAAAAAATTATCGCAATAAATCATTATCAGACAGATAAAATTATATATCATCGAATTTCCGGTCCAATAAGTAATATTGATATTTTAAAATAAATTTAATTAAACTAAAATAAAATTCACTAAATTTTTGGATTGAATCAATTTTAATAAACAAATATTTTTTTAATATAATCTTTTATAACAAATATAATATATTTTAATTTTTATCTTATATTAATTATATTTATTTTAAATAATTATTATTATATCATATATTTATCCTATTCTCTAATACACTTTATATTTATAACGTTATAATCATAATAAATTTTATTATTTTTATAAAAAATATTATTAATAATAAATTTATTATATATTTATTATATTATAAAAATATTATTTTATTAAATTTAGTTAAATCTTAATTAAATATTTATTGAATCTTTAAATTTAAACCCATATTTTCTCCTTTAAAATGATCTAGTCAACTTTAAAAATATTGCTAAAAATAATTATAAAATTAATATTACTTGATAATTAATGAGAGAGTTGTTTATAAAAAGATTAGGATGACCGAGAGTATTTCGTAGTTTTCTTTTTCTTTTAAAATTTATCATATTTAAAATTCGATTATAAGTATTAAAATAAATATTAATTTTTATTATTTTTAATAAACTTGTTAACTTTTTATTAATATTTTATTATTTTAATATATTTTATCTAAATTATTTTGGATAATTTCTGTTTATAATAAACATAATGAATAAAAAAATAATTGATACTGACTAAATTTATAAATAATTGACATAATAGAAAAGATGTCTTTAATAACCTAAGAATCAGTTCTTGTTAAGAAATGTATTTAATGGCCACAAAATTGTGTGGGGATAAGAATTTTTTTAAAGTATGGGCAAAGCATAAAGCATAATATATATTCTCTACTCTAAACAAAAGGAGAAGATATTTCAGGGGCAAAGATTTGTGGTATATTGTGATGAAATCAAGGTTCTGATTCCGCAATAACTATTTTGTTGAAAACATGGTAGGGAAATTCAGTGACACTAAACAGAGAAATAGTGTAAGAAAATATGAGAGTTTTAAGGGGCAAAGAGAGTTATTTACAGGACGAGTAGCCTGACTGAGAAGCACGTTGATGAAAATAGCACTTCCAAAGGACAAAAAAATCCCACCCCCGATTTCACGCATCCCTGCACTTACTCAAAACTCAACCATAAGAATTCACAAACTCTCTCATAAGGAAACATGTTTGAACGTTAAAGGGAAAGGAAAAGCATTGAAAACCTTTGAAAGTCTCCCATGGGTAAATCAGACCGTCTCTATTCATGTCAAAAAATGCAGCATGCTTCTGCAGAACGTTCTCTTCCACTAAAATGGATTTCTCTCCAATTCCTCCTGCTATTTCTGCAAACAAAACAAACATGTAAGTGAACAAACTGTATTTTTAATGGAAATTTTCTGAAAGATAGAGTCAAGACACACATACCCTCTACTTTTTGGTTGAGTGAGGGTGGTGAAGAAGCCATTTCGGAATAATTGGGAATCGAAAAGGTATCAAATTGGGAAGGAAAATACTTTTTTGGTTATAAGCTGTAAGAAGAAATGACAATGGAAGAGTTGGGAAGCGGTTATATCTATATATAGTGTGAGAGTGGGTGTCATGAAGCAATCACTGTACTGAGAATTGGACACGTGTACGATCTGAGCGATATTCATAATCGCATTCCCATTTTTTCTTCTTCTTCCACATCACGGAACAGCTGTGATAATCTGCTTTAGGTTCTTCCTGTAGAAATGTCATTTAATTGCTTTGTTTTGTAGCGGAGTTCAAGATTCAAATGATTTTGTTATGCTAGAGTTCCATCACTTCCTCCCGTCGGAGAAATCGAGATTTTCACGTAGAAAACAGGAATTTCATCACTCTTCTCACAATTAAGGTTTTTTCTTCGTTTGAAATGTAAATGAAAAGATATTTTAATTTTATTTTAGAATTGTTATTACTTGGATTTAAAAAGGACGTCGGACTTCTTCTTTTTGTTGAGCCGAGCAGGTACACCGAACAGGGATACTGGAAAAATTTTAAGTAAATACATGAATGAGTAAAATAAATAAGTTAGTAATTTATTTATCTAGGAGTTGATTACCATAACACTCTCGGTGAGATATTTTATCTTTATATTTTTTTATATTTTGGGATAATTTTTTAACATCTCATGAGTTGGTATAAATATATATAGGATATTAACAAGATAGTTAAATATTGTCGAAATATGAGTTGGTATAAATATATAGAATATTAAATATATAGAATATTAACTAGAGAGTTAAATACTATCCAAATATTTAGTCTGAGAATTCCTGCAATTATGGTATTGATATATGTTTATTTCATCTCAGATTTATAAATTAAATTAGGTCAATTGAATATATTTGTGTGATATTTGAATAATGTTTTAATGTATTACCGTTATATTTACCTTTTTATGTAATTTCTTTGTTTTGTTGAGAAACAAGTGCACAATTTTTGTGGAACTTGCGTGGTTGACGACTTTTTACTATTGGGCTTGAGTTGAAAAGGAAAAAAAAGGGAGTAACTAGAAAAAAAAAAATGGTCGACGTGGAAAGGAGAAGGAGCTAAAAGGGGAGAACTACGTTATGTAAAAAGAGGAAGGCAAGAAGGACAGCGGAAGAGGAGTAGTTTTTAGGGTTTTAATTTTTGTATGGAAGGTTAAACTTTTCTTTTGTTAGAGGGTTGATGTAGTATTCTGTAAAACAGATTCTAAACTTATTTAATTTGATGCAACGTAATTTATTTATTCTAGGATCTTATCTATGATTTTTTAGGTTGAATTTTAAGCAGTTATATTTAAAAAATTTAACATTGTCTATGTTGTTAGATGAGATAAGTTAGATTTTTGTTTAATTGAAAAACTATGCAAACTTAACTAGTTTTTGTGGAGGAGATTATTAATTATTCAAGTTTTCAGTGAATTTTTCTTATTCCAAGGAATTAGAAAATTAAAAGTTCAGTAAATAATTTTGCTTACATAAGGGATTAGGAAGTAAATAGCATTTTTAACTCCAGTGAGTAAATTTAATTCTTGCATCAATTAAATAGCCTAGAAATTTGTAGGAAGGAATATGAAATCAATCATCTGGCGTATATTTTACTGCAAAGAAAAATAATTGTTCTGTAAAATTAATGATCTAGTATTCAACAAATATCCCCTGAGGATGATAATGTGGTTACTTTTGTAACAATTGGTTTGCTTACCAAAGTATACATCAATTTCCTGGCGCCGCTGCCGGGGATTGAAAAATTTTGTTGATATTAGAAAGTTTTTTTTTTTACTTGCGATTTGAGCTACAGTTTTTTTTACTATTCCATAATTTTTTTTCCTTCTTCTTTCTTTGCTTTTGTGTCTTTAACACTATTTATGCGAGGTACTGTAGCACCAGAAAATTTACTATTTAATCCTGAAATTGAACGTACTTCCAGAAGAAATAGAAGAAGTGCAAGGAAAAGAAAAAAAGAAAGGAGAATAACACAAGAAGAAGCAAATCACAATTCATACACTGCAACCATGGAACAACCCAAGAGAACACTGAGGGACTACTCCATGATAGATCTAAACAGTTATAAGGGGAGTATTGTTAGACCCTCTATACAAGTAAATAATTTTGAAATTAAACATTTTTTTGTTACAACTCATATAACAAAATCAGTTTGGAGGTCTACCTTCGAAGGATCCAAATTCTCACCTGGAGAATTTTTTGGCTATCTGTGACATGTTGAAAATTAACAGAGTCACTGATGATGTAGTCCGCTTGAGGCTTTTTCCCTTTTCATTACCCGAAAAAGCCAAAGGTTGGCTTCAATCACAACCTCAAGGAAACATCACTACTTAGGATGATTTGGCTACCAAATTTGTGAACAAATACTTCCCTCCAGTCAGCGAGAATGCAGGTGCAGATCTTTTATAATGCCCTTTCTCCTACCTTCAAAGCAATGTTGGATGCTGCCAGTGGAGGATCATTCAACCTGAAAACACCAGAGGAAGCCTTAGAGACCCTGGAATTAATGTCAAATAATACAGTACACATGCATTTTGATCGTCAAAATAGGAAAGCTAGAATGCTAGAAGTTAGTACTTTGGATCTCATTTTAGCTCAAAATAAGGTACTAACCCAACAAATTATAGACTTGACTCAATAGTTAGGGAGTATGCAGGTTAAAGTTGTTAACACACCACCTTTGGTATGTGATTTTGTGGAGGGATGCATCAAAATGGTGAAGGTCAAATTAATCAACAAGAAGTACATGCAAATGTTGTACAACAACAACACAATCAGTTCAACAATTATAATTCAAGTTGGAGAAGTCAGCCAAACAGGCAATGGGGTAGTCCAACCCAGCCTGGACAACTAAGACCTCCATATCAATATCCAACGGTTCTTAACAATCAAGCACAAACCAGCTTTCAAGGGACCAAAATGTTTACTTTGAAAAGTGCTTTGGAGAAATTATTTATGCAGACATCTAGCTTTGTGGAACAAACTTCTCATTTCATGAGTGAAACTAGAATAAATTTCAAGAACCAGGAAGTTCCAATCAAGAATCTGGAAACCCAAATTGGTCAGATATCAAGACAACTATCAAAGAGAACCTCTGGTACATTTCCCAGTGACATTGTAGTGAACCCAAAAGAACATTGTAAACTCATACAACTGAGGAGTGGAAAGGTAATAGCTAATGAGAAAAAAAGTGTGGTAGCAGAAGAGAAAAAACAAGAGAAAACAGATATTGTATAGCAAACAGAGAGTGAAAAAGAGAAAATCGAGTGGAATTGTGAGCAAGAAAAAGAGGGAGAGAAGAAATAACGGAGTGAAAGTGACAAGATAAAAGAATTTGTACCCATTGTACCATTCCCTCAAAGGTTAAAGAAGAAAGAACAAGAAAAATAGTTTGCAAGATTTATAGATGTTTTTAAAAAGCTCCAGATTAATATTCCATTTGTTGAGGCACTGGAGCAGATGTCGGGCTATGCAAAATTCATGAAGGATTTGCTATCTAGAAAATGAAAACTACAAGAAAATGAAATTATAATGCTGACAGAGGAGTGCAGTGTCATAATTCAGCAAAAGTTACCCCCAAAGTTGAAAGACCCAGGAAGCTTTGTCATTCCTTGTGAAATTAGAAATTTAATGGTGAGTAAAACATTATGTGACCTTGGAGCAAACATCAATTTAATTTCATTATCCATTTTCAAAAGGCTGAAGATTGGGGAAGTGAAACCGATCAGGATTAATCTACAACTGGCTTATCGTTCAATTACCTATCCTTATGGAGTGGTAGAGGATGTCTTAGTGAACGTAAATAAGTTCATTTTTCCAGCTGATTTTGTGGTGTTGGATATGGATGAAGATGTTAAAGTCCCAATTATATTGGGAAGACCATTATTAGCTACAGGGAGAGCATTAATAGACGTGCAACAAGATGAGTTGATGCTGAGAGTGGGTGATGAAAAATTAATTTTTTTCCATAAATGAAGTTATGAAGTAGATGGCAGATAAGGAAGATTATTTCAAAGTTGATATAATTGATATGCTAGTACTAGAAAAGTGATTGATCAATTGAAAAGAAATCCATTGGAAGTAGCTTTAATGAAGGTACTAGGTACAAAACAGTTAAGTGAAGAGCTAAGTGAAGAGGCGGTACAATGCGTCCAACAATTAGAAGCAGTAAAATCATTATTCAGTTCAACTAAAGGGGTGAAAGATTTACACCAAGGTGAAAATGCAGTGGAAGACACCTCCAAGATAGAACTAAAACAACAACCATCCCACCTTAAATACAGATTTTTAGATGAACAGAAGCTTAAACCTATGATAATGAATAGTGAGTTGTCTGATGTTGAGGAAGAAAAACTGTTGAGAGTGCTGAGATAGCACAATTCTGCTATAGGGTGGATTATAAATGATCTGAAAGGTATTAGTCCCACTATCTACATGCATAAGATCTATTTGGAGGAGAACTTCAAGACTGTGCATCAACCACAAAGAAAACCCAGTCTCATTATGAAAGAGGTGGTAAGAAAGGAGATCATTAAGCTACTAGATGCTGGGATTATCTACTCGATTTTTTACAGTGAGTGGGTCAGTCCCGTGCAAGAGGTACCTAAGAAAGGTTTGCTCCTATCCTTGACCTCAAGTAATATTGGGTGTTGAATGAGATACGTCATTATAGGTCAATGTATTCATCTATTTCTATTGTAGATCATTTATGTAAATCATTTGATATATGTGAGTCATCCTATACTCATCTGATGACCCTTGAGTCATGTTTTTCATTTGACCGAATTTATATGAAGCCAAGGATTGATGGCGAGGACTTTACATTTGTGTACGAGTGTTTTTTTAAGTAGTTAGAGATTTTACTGCCCTTCACCGACTGAGTGTGAAATGTTATCTGTTTTGGGGTGGCTCCTAGTCAACTACATCCCAATAGTTGGGTCTTTTTGAAGGT